ATAACTAAAAAGTAATCTTCTTTGATTAATTTATTCTTTTTTTTTTGTCTCTTTCAGATTCAAGTCGTGAATGGCGTGATTCTAATATCCTGGCGTCAATCGGTTCTACAGAAGCAAATCGATTATGGGGCCAAATTAGGTCATGTAGTACTCTCCTTAGCCAAAATGGAATTGGAAAATTTCTTCAAAAATGTGATGCCAGTCGCCGATTATTTTGATCAGAGCGACATGTTGTTGGCCGTGAGTACTTTATGATTAATTCAATACCAAAAATAAAATACAAGGAAAATAATGCATTTTATGAACTGCAAAGTTATATGATATTTCTGTTCTGAGTGTAGCTTTTCTACTAATGGTAAATGTCTTAAATCTAACAAAGCTTTTTAGAAGTCAATATGTTTAAAAAAATAAAGTTACTAGTAAGATAATAATCACTTAGTAATAATTGTTAGATGTTGATTTAATTACATTTCTGCTCTCGTTCAAAACAATTAAATAAATTTATATTCAAAAGCAACCTAATAGCTTTAGAATTAGTAGATAAAATAATGATTTATAAAGATGGGGCTACAAACATTAAATTAACTGAAATACAAATATTACCCACTATAAATATGTTTACGAAAGATTAATAAAATAACTGTGGAATAAAGGGATAAAAGGAACATTTTTATTGATAGGACTGCAAGCATTAGATTACCATTTAAAATGTCTGTCTAATGTTAATTAAACTTTATTAATATTGTCGTGTTTTATTATTCCTGCAGGTAAATGGCGAGCGTGCTCCCACAGAGGTGTACAAAGACTTTCGCACCGCTGTTCTCGACATACTCAGCGCCCTCGAGAACCAAGAGGCCGTGATGAATGGAGTTACAGGTATGGGCAGAGGGATACATGATATACCCGGCAGTATAGTTAGCGTAGACACCGCACCAAGTCAAGCCCAACAAGCGACTCAAATTGCAGAAGACGTCGCGACCACGGGCATCGTGCTGGCCAGAGATTTGGCCATCGATCCGATGGATGGTGGTGGGCCCAATGGGAACTTGACCGTGTCCGAGGCCATTAAAACGGGCACCACCAGTGCGGATGACGACAGCGGGGTGGTGGTCACCCAGCAGCCAAAGTTGCGACCGGAAGTTGCACCGGATGAGTCGGGTCTGCCACCCATTATTTGGGTGATCGGCGGTCCGGGCAGCAACAAGGCCACACTCTGCCTCAAGGCCGTGGGACTAAACCCCGGCTGGGCTCACATTAGGTAGGTTTGAATTGAGAATCCTTATAACATAACTTTTGTTTAAATTAATTGACTCCATTTGCAGTGTCGGTCGCCTTTTGCGCAACATCACGGACTCTGCACCACGTGCCAATACGGAAAGCTTCGCGGTCAAGGAAGCTCTGGCCGCTGGGGATATGGCCCCGGAAAAGTCGCTAAATCAGCTACTGGAAACCAATCTGCGACAGTTACGAGATCGAACTGGCATCATCATAGATGGGTATCCCAGAAATCTTCAGCATGTCAAGTACTTTGAGAACAAGGTGAGATATGTTATGCTTGTCATAAGTTTTTGTTAAGAAGTCCTTTTTTCGTCTTTATGGAAAATGAAAGTAGGTAGGATTTCTGTTTAAGGAATACCTTTTGGTTTTCCTTTTTGAACCCTAATTTAGCCTTATTATAAATACGACAAAACTGATGATGAAATTATATTTATACTCAATTTATCTGTTGTTATTTTTGTATAATTTTTAAGATATATCTAAAACTGCTCTAAATTTCTTCATATTCCTCAGTACAAGCAACGACCGCCTATTATCCTGCTCGACTGCTCGAAACTTCAGCTGGGCAGAGGACGCATAGATGACACTGTATCCTCATTCCGACGTCGTTTGGAGCTCTTTCGGGAGCAGACCCTACCGATGCTCAAGATCCTGGACACCAGCAATCGCCTGCAGATTGTAAGTGGCTAAAAAAATCCTTAAATATATTATTTATATCGAATTGATTTCCAGGTCGATGGCGACACGGATAGTCCGTCGGTGCAGCGTGAGTTCGAGCGCCTCATCCGGAATCACATCCAGAGGCTGTTGAACAAAGGCGATGATACGGATGAAACAGCACCGCTGGGCAACGAAATGATGCGGAACGAGCAAACGGATGCCATTCTGCACGATCTGGAGACCAATGTCCCGGGTGCCGTGCCCACGATAAGTCACCATGTGAGCATGATGAACGGACATCTGAAGAACCGGGGAAGTGCCCTGGGCAGTGGGAAGCATCCGGGGCAGATGATGAATGGACATGTTCCCGGTAGACCCGGAACCGGACCCGTCACCCAACCCGTGCCCGTCGATTTCCGGCACATGCTCGAGGAGGCCGAGCGATATCCGGTCGATTCGTATATGTAGACGAGTCCAAGGATCCTGTAGTGAAGTCGTATTTCAAAGTTTTATAGTTTTCTAATGGACCTAGACTAAGCGTATTGTTAATACAGGTTTGTTGAATTTTTGAAGAAGGTGCGAGGGACCAATACGTAAATTAGTCCGGCTAGATTAAGAGTTAGAAGAATTCAATTCAATACCTTATTTCATTAGATGAGTACCGACTTAGCGTAAGAGTGCCTTCATTGCAGGCAACAATGTAATTAAGGGGTAGCCATAAACTTGAACGATTTCAATAAAAGCAAACAAGTCCAAATATGGTCATTAAATTGGCAGTTTTTAATTTATCCTTTTCTTGTTCGTTTAGCACTAAATGTACTTCGCAATCTCTCTATTATTGCAATTAAATTCAGACACAGTTGGTGATAATTCGGCTAACACATTCGTGTAATGAAAAGAGATAACTTTTATTGCATGCTTTGCTGATGAAATTTTGAACTTTGAACTGATTATAAAAAAAACAAATCATTAAGCATCAAATGACTGGACTTTTGGACTCTGCTACGTTCCTCAAAAATCGGTCTTTGGATCGTCTGATCTGCGACATTGACCATTCTGGATTGGAAAGTGGCTTTAATTCTTGCGGCCCTTGAACATTTGACTTAGGTTTGATGGAGAGTAAATCCTTAACGCGGATTTCTCCCCTTCCGGGATTGGTATGATTGCACCATATAAACACCAAGAGCAGCACAAAAAATATAACTATAAATTGTTTAGTCCTCGCCATGGTTGTTCGTCTTTTCGTGTTCTTGAATTCTAACTCAATTCTTTATCAATTTCTGAGTTAATTCGACAGATAGGAAAACGGGGACTTGACGACCAATTGAAAATTACGTAGGTATCGAAATTTTTCAGTATTAGGTATTTTGGTAAGGACAAGAAGCTGTCACTTCTTTTCCCAAATCATCGAAGTAAGTAATCCGAGAAGATTCGTAAGGCGAACAGTAAGGAAGGGCATAAAAGTGCACCAGCAATCTGGTATTACGGCATCGGAAAAACTTTCGTACCAGGGCAGTACATTCAGTAAACACAGTTTAAGTTATTAAAATAAATAAACTCTCGATGAGTTCGATCGAACATGTTTTTTATACCAAGCGCAGTGCCTGTTATCACGAATTTTCGGTGAGCAGAAAGCTTACTTTGATATTTTAAATCCACTCACCTTAAAAAATTCAAAGTTACAACTTTGACCGTATCTATGATTGACAGCAATATATCTTTTAGACCTTATCGTCCACACCCTCCGAATCGCGGCCGTACATATTACCAAGGTTAATGAGTTAAGTTTTTCTGTTTCTTTACTGTAAGTAGTGGTTGCAAAGAAGATCGATTGACGTTTGGGACAGTCATGGGAACAGGAATTCATCCGATCCGATTTACATATTAAGCCAATCTATTATAAATGATCGCATAAATGTTAAAACATTAGCAGTTGGCCACGCCCACTCTACCGCCCTCAAATTCATTAAAAAGGTGGTAGAGGAAAATTTTTGATCGGTACATCTTTATTCGGTCAATATGTATCAGGACACCTTAAATGTTCCAAATCGAAAAATTACTTCAGAAGTTATTAAGAAATTAAGTTTAACATGGTCAAAGGTCAATGGCAGATAAACATACCATACCGCCAGATGTCGCCACATATTTTATCGTTACAGTGCCAATAGAATTGCAAGTGGAGCCATCTGTTAAAGGCAAATTGATTTTGAAATTGGTTACGAAGTAACTGGTATCTGTTAACTGATAACTTGCACAATGAACTTGCATCCAAAACCCGATATAATTTGCAGTTCTTTAAAAATGCTTCCATGTTCAAGTAGCTTGTACTGTTTCTTGTTACGATCGTAGATAACGCTGACCAAACTTGGCTCATTTGTACAGGCTTTGATCTTTAGGGGTTTTCACTTAGGGTATCTATAACGTTTAAACCTTTGGCATCTTAAAGCCGAAGAACTTTTGGTGCAGTTAGCTTATTATCCACTGATATTTAAGGGGGTGGCGGGTTCTATATCGATCTGCCAGGTTTTATCTATTTTTCCAGAGTCGTTCGGCAAATGGTTTACTAGTAGAAAAAAGAAAAGCACGACTCCCACGCATATGCATAGTTTCCAGGCATTAAACATAATTATTTTTTATGTGAGTTTGTAACGTACTTTTACTTGATAAGGCTAAACACACTTTGTTCTAAAATGTCATATATATTTGTGTGTGCACTCTAGGAAACGAAAAGTATAAAATATTTACAAGTAAAACAGATAATTCATTTCGCAATGTCCATTTCAAGTTATTTACTAATATGATTTCTATCCCATAAGTGTATATACTTGTTGCAATGAATACCTTCCCAGCTGCCAATATTTATTGACAGTTTCCTCCAAGTCAAAAGTTATACACACCCATTTCCGATCATAAAAACTAATTTTATAGGTTCTTTCGTTCTTTTTTAGAAAACGTTTACAAATACCATAGAATTTATTAGTTCACATACGAAAATATTGATATTTATACTATTTAATACTGATATCTTAGCAATCTGTTAAAATGATTGGAAATACCATCACAAAGTAACTATTAGTCTACAGTTCGAAAACGGATTTGTATTTTTTTAAATTGTTAATAATTAATCATTTGTATTTTGCTTTTTGCCTTAAACAATTTAGTATAGTAAACAACTTCTAAATTTATTTTATATGCTATTAATACTAAGGGTTAGCTTTTCTTTAAAAATAACTCGAAATTTCAAGTCAAATGAAAAAATTCTAAAGACTTCAGTTTAATTTGAACCTAAATTTCTCGGAATGAATTGTTACGACTTGAGGTCACTGAAGCAAATGCAATACAGCTTGGCAAGCTTGTCTTCGATGCAAGTTGAGTCCTCCTTGTAAGAGTTAGTCCTGCTGATTTTCTCCACATTCACCTCGGCGTTTTGGGTGACGTTGTTGTAGACCACGGTGGCCTGAAAATCAGCACTATTCTGTTTGACTTTGAACTTGACACGATACACGGCAGTCTCCGTCTCCTTCAGTTCCTCGTCCCACTGGACATTCAGACCCGTTTTGATCTCAGTCTTATGGACGTAGTTCAGCGTGAGATTGCTGCACAGATGGCTGAGATTCTTCTGCACGAAATACTCGTTCATGTGATCGATCACACTCAGGGCGATGGGGCGTGTCCACGACTGTCCCTTGATCACCTTGTACGGATCGCAGGTGCACCAGTGCTCCTCGATGCCCGCCTGTGGGCAGGTGCGATCCTCCGGCAGGGGATAGAAAAGCGACTGGCAGGTGGGGCAGTCAAAGGACTTGGGCAATGCCGTCCCATCCGGGGTGCCTCCGATCTCGACGATGTGCTTCAGGGTATTGTGCAGATCAAAGTTGGAGCTCAGCCTGTGCTGATTTAGATCTAGTGCCTGCGCATAAGAGGGATAGGCTTCGCGGAACCAGGGCGGCAGGTATATGAACATCATGGGCAGCCGCTCCTCCTGGAATCCCCCCTCCAGCCATGTTAACTGGCCAAATCTGGTGCCGTGGTCGGCGAAGAAGATCATGATCATTTCCTCGAAAGCCCCATCGGCGTGAAAGTCGAGCAGATCCCCAAGGATCTTCTCCTGCATGGCCGCGGGCAGGAAGGGATCGTCGTGACTGAAGTGATTCGACCAGAACATGCCCCAAATGGGACGCTCGTGCACAAAACGCTGCGCAAACTGGAGGCCATAGTCGTAGATGTATCGATTCGCCATCCTTCGTCCCAGACAGTATCTCATGTAGGGGTGTTCCGGCAACCGATACACATCCATCTCGGACTCCAGAGCACGCAGCATTGGCCGGAAGTAGTAGTCCATGGGCTTTTTGGAGAAGCCCGGCTTCAGGTAGCTGAAGTGATTCGAATTACTCTCGTCCTCCGCATAGCCCGTCAAATAGCTGGCATTCTTGAAGTACTTCCAAATCATCGGTATTTCATCCAAGCAGCCAAGTTTGTTAGTGTCGCACACCTGTTCCCTGGCCGTGCTTTCCGAGTATCCACTCAGAATGGCGAGTATATTGGGAAAGGAATTGTCCGCCACCTGGAAAAAGATTAATTTCATTTAAATTATTATGTTTTCTAAAGTACGTTACATGGAATATAAAATTTACTTTAGACATTTAATTCGTTTTTCTTGCTCAGTCTAACTAATTACTTCACAACATATGTTGTATGCTAAGTGGTCTAACACAAACGTTTTTATACCCTTGCAGAGTGTATTACAATTTTAGTCAAAGGTTTGCAACGCAGTGAACAGACATGAACCTGAATCCTTGATCAGCACACCCACAACAGTCGGTCTAGTATTGCCTAAATGAAACTTCCCCCAAAAGTTTTCTCTCATTACAACAAAAAGTCATACAATTTAATTATTCTCAACTTTTAGGTTAATTTTCTAAATGCTAGCAACGTGTAACATTTTCGTAGCCAGATAAAAAATCGAAATTTATTAAAAACAAGAAGGGAAAGCTAACTTCGGGCGGAGCCGAAGTTGAAATACCCTTGCAGAATATTCTGCAAATTATATTCTCCAAAATTATTCATATGATGCATTCTTAATACTCATAAAAAATCCCAACTTCCTAACTTTAAAAACACCAAAGTTATGGCATTTCCAATCGTTCAGTTATATGACAGCTATAGAATATAGTCGGCCGATCCTTATAAAATTTGATATGTCGGATTGATTGGGCCAAAATAAAACCCATAGAAAGTCCCAAATTCCTAACTTAACAAACACCAAAGTTATGGCATTCCCGATCAATCAGTTATATGGCAGCTATAGGATATAGTCGGCCGATCCCGGCCGTTTCGACTTATATACTGCGTGCAAAGGAAAGAAGGGTGTGTGCAAAGTTTGAATTCGATATCTTTAAAACTGAGAGACTAGTTCGCGTAGAAACAGACAGACGGACAGACAGACGGACAGACGGACATGGCTATATCAACTCAGGAGGTGATCCTGATCAAGAATATATATACTTTATAGGGTCGGAGATGTCTCCTTCACTGCGTTGCACACTTTTGACCAAAATTATAATACCCTCTGCAAGGGTATAAAAAAAAGTATTCTCTTATTAATTAAATAAAAATGTAAATTTGAAAACCTAGAATAATTGTTGTTATCATTAATTTTGGAAATAAAATAAATTTCTGATCCAGATAACGGTTTTAGTTATAAACGTTTCACTCTCTCGCAATAATAATAAGCACAAAAGTGCTTTGCTATGAAATAAATAATGCCCTAAGGTAAATTTGCATAAATTAAATGGATCCTCCATCCAGTTTCTTTTCTCAAAACGAAACGAAGAATTATATGCTTGTGTTTTCTTATAGGGATGTTTTGTGGCCTCAATGATATTAATATAATATATATATAGAGAATATATATTAGTATTTTGATCACCTTGTTGTATCCCTGCATCTCGTACCACCCGTCACCTTGAAGAAACCTGAAGACCTTCGGCATTGTGCGGCGTAGATTTATTCGAGACAGCGAGTCGATGCCGTACATTATGACACTTGGCTTTCGGGGTCCTTGAGGTTTTTTGAGGTCCTCGGGCAGCGGCTGATGTTGAACGAACATGAAGGCGTCCTTCTGCAGGACCACCTTCGGGTCCTCAGCCTTTTGGCACTCGACGATCATGCCCTCCACATGCAGCGGCACCAAATATCCATCCATGAAGTACTTTTTCGCCGTCAGACTGCGCGATTGATGATTAGATATTAATAACGCTTTTCCAGCAGTTGGGGGATTCACCTTTTCTTACTTGTCGTAGGTATCTGCTTGATGCCCGTACTTGATTTCCTGGTAAAAGCAGTTGTATTCTGCGTTGGTGAAGTTGAGCAATTGTAAAGCAACTTCATCGTCGATGTGCAATACATGTCTTTTGAGTTTTTCATTATATTCAGTCGCTATGAGATCGGTCTCATTCGAGCAGGTGACTAGCTCTTGGGGATCGAATATTTTCATCACATCGACGTTAAAGGGATTCACATATGGGATCTGACACTTGGGGGTTTTCACATAGTATTGTTGTGGCCGGGGCTTGGCCAAAATTCGCGGTCGCGTAGACTGCGGTAATTCCCGTAACTCCAAGGACACATTTGCTTGATTTATTAGAAAAACTATAACCAAAAGAAAACAGCAAACGCCTAAGAACTTGTAGAGCGGATGACTGGCACGAAATTTCGACTCCATGGTGACCGCCTTCCACCACATTGACGACCCAACTGAACGAAAATCGCAGACTTCCGAAGAAAATGCCTCGTCCAATAGACACACTCTGTTATCACGAATTTTGAAAGAGCAGGTTGCTTGAAATGTTTTTTAATTTTGGGTCGGCTGTAATCAATGAAGAATATCCAATGGCACAGAAATTTTCGAAGAACACAAGATAGCAACGTTAATTACATTTATGTAACTTACTTTTGTGCGTGCGTTGAAAAAAAACATTTGATTTTTTCAAAACCCAAGTAACATTCCATTTTAAATTTAATTAAAACCGTCAAAATGAGTTTTTTATCGTATCCCTTAAGAGTTGATTAATATATGTAGGTTGGGGGCATAGTTTATGATATATATTATATATATATTATATATTTCACACCTGGGTTAAGAATAGATTCTTGAAACTTTCCAAATCGTAATTCCCATACCCTTCTCGTGAGAACGCAAACCTTTGTTATTATTTCTGAAAAATCTGCAAGGGTATTAAAACTTTGGCTTCCGTTCCCGTTTTTATGTAATTTTGATATATTTTTACATACCCAAATAAAACTGGTACTAATAAATTTCAGCTGGAGCTGTCAATAGTACGAAATTTATTGACATGAATTAAGACCAACTGATCATTAAGTAATAATTATCAGGTAATTTTTTATCTATTAATTTTGGTCTTTATTATTGAACATGTTGTTAATTTCTGTGTAAGTTTACAATAACTTCGCTACATCCTTAGTTATTCAGAAACTATTTAAACTTAATTATTTGTTTGTCTGTGTGTCAATATTTCTCTTTGTTTCCAGGATTTAGTTTTGATAGGCATATGCAATATAACTTCTGTATCTTATTATGAACGCATTCCGAATCGGAACCGTACATGTTAATCCGGCTGATGAGTTCAACATTTATCTCGAGCTCCTCTGTTTCTTTATCGTATAGGGTGGTGGCAAAGAACTCGGCCATGTTCTGATGAACCTGGAACTTGGTGTGATAGTGTCGCATTTTGCCGTCGACATTGTCCATTCTTTGTTCGGTGATGTTAACTGCCTTCAGTGTGAGATTGCTGCACAGATCCTGGATGTGGTTGAGCCGGAGGTACTGGTTTATGCGATCCACCACCAGGTCGGCCATGCGCCAGGTCCATGGATCCCTTCCGACTTTTTGATAGTTGTGGCAAGTACAGTACGCCTCCGCTATGGAAGCTTCCGAGCAGCTGCGATCCTCAGGCAGCGGATAGAAGAGCGACTGACACTGGGGGCAGTCGTAGGACCAGGACTTTTTGGTGACCTCTTTTTCTTCTCCAATCTTTAGGATGTGCTTTAGGGTATTGTACACGTCGAAGTTTGAGCTCAGACGATTCTGATTCTGGGACAGAGCCTTGGCATACTGTGGATACTTCTCCCGGAACCAGGGTGGCAAGTAAATGAACATCATGGGTAGCCTCTCCTCCAGGAATGCTTCCTCCATATGCATCAGGGGACCAAAACGGGCTCCATGGTCCGAGAAAAATATCATAATCGTATGCTCGAAGGCTCCGTCTGCTTCAAAATTCAGCAGATCCTTCAGGATCTTGTGCTGCATGGCCGAGAGCATGAAGAAGTCGTCGTGACTGAAGTGGTTAGACCAGAACATGCCCCAAATAGGACGCTCTGCCACAAAACGCTGCATAAACTGGCGGCAGTAGTCGAAGATATAGCTGTTGGCCAGTCGACGACCCAGGCAGTACTTCATGAGACAACCCGGGCAAAACCGAATCGGAGTCTCCTTCTCCAGGGCGCTTATAAAGGGTCGGAAGTAGTAGTCTGTGGGCTTAACACCAAAGCCTGGTTTCATGTAGTTAAAGGTATTCGCAGATTCCTCATCCTCAGCATAGGCTGTCAAATAGCCTTCTGTTTTGTACTCTTTCCATATGAAGGGTATTTTATCCAAACACCCATCTGTATCCGTATTACAAAGCTGAGTGGCTGCCGTTTCTGGAGAATAGCCAGTTAGCATGGCAAATATGTTGGGAAAGGAATTGTCAGACACCTGTAATTAAAATACTATATAATAATGATAGATTGAACAGTGTATTTCCAACCTTATTGTATCCCATCATTTCGTACCAGCCTGGTGACTTTAGGAACTCGTATATCATGGGCATCATCCGACGTAGATTTGTGCGTGAAACAGTATCTATGCCGTACATAATCACACTGGCCTTTCGATCTGGCTGTGAGTTCTGGGGACTTTCTTGGTACTGAACAAACATGAAAGCATCCTTTTGCAGGACTCTCTTCTTGTCTGCTGTCCTGCAGTCCACCAACATCCCCTCGACATCCAAAGGCACCAGATAGTCCTGAGTAAGCTTAGTTTTGATTCCTTTTCTGTGCTAAAAGAACATTTATTTATTATTTAAACTCAACACTGAGCATATTACAAAATTACTTATCGTAGCGATCCGGTGATTGACCATAAATAATTTTTTGGTAGAAGCAAGCAAAGTCATTACTTTTTGACTGGGACAACTTATGAACCACCTCCTCATTAATGTGCAGCACATATTGATTTAAAAGGTCATCATAGTGCACCGTAATGAGATCACTTTCATTGGTGCAAGGTATAAAAACCGTCGGTTTGTTGACTTTCAAGAACTCCGCATTAAATGGATCCACATAGGGTATTTCGCATTTTCCAGATTTTACGTAGAAGCGTTTCTGAACTCCCCGTTTACCAATGCTGAACTTTTTATTGCTTTTGGAGGGAAGCATACTCCATAAACATATAAGAGATATCGCGAAACAACAACCGATAAGTCTATTTAAAGTGCTCGTAAACAGCCGCACCATTGTATTTCTGTCCGACAAGTAAAATGTTTTATGTTTCTAACTTCTGGATGAACTACCGAAGGAAATTCAATTTCACGGTAATTGTTATCTTCACTACTGAAAAGGGGTCGTGTAAAACACTTTAAGTTAAAAATACTATTAGCTTGTATCTGTTTTAGTTATTTTAAAATTTCATTGACTGAACTTAACACTTTATTTTTAAACGTACTCAGCAATTTCAATAGTATCGACATGCCAATGTGAGAGGATTGACTTTTAACCATCAAGTGACTTCAAAAAGCGTCGTGGGAAGATGATTCTTCAGAAATTATTCTTATTATGACATTTCTGTCTTTGTGATGTCATATCTAACAGGTCCCACTTGATTTGCCGCTGCATGAACCGCGGAAATCTCAATTTACCATGAAATGTCGTTTCACTCGGAACTAAATGAACTCTAAGAAATACCCTATATGCAGATCAGTAAGAATTAGGTATGAAACCACGTAGGATACTGCTTTTGCTAATTCATTTGCTGACATGGAGCCATTTGGCTTTGGGTGCGAAAAGGCGCCCAGTTTATAATAACTCACAAAACAAGCGGTCTACACAAATCGAACATGAACACTATATCAAAACATCAGAGTGTCATATTCCGTACATCCCAAAGCAGGACCAACGCATTAAAGAATTAACTGAAGAGGTTGGCAACGATGGTAGTTGCTCCAAAGGTGATACTTTGATCAGTTCTCGATTTGACGAAAAACTTCAGCAATATGTATTGCATGTCAACGATTCGGTTGCCCAATCGATTTTGAGGACTATGGAGGAGGAATCCCCCAACTTGGTGGGATACAATTGCAGCTATCGTGAGATCAAAAGAGTGCATAACAATTCCACTGCCGTTTCACCTGTCTTGTAAGTATTATATTTTGTTTTTTTTTCTAATTTAATTAATATAATTACAAACAGCTTGGGTAGAGAAGTCACTTTTTGGGATGGCTATATTGTTCCCCGCAATGTCGAAGGTCTGAAGGCAACATGCAGAAATGAGCTGGCAGAGGATCTACAATCAGACACTTTTGCCTTTGTGCAACCTCAAAAAACTGATTCGCCACTAATTTCTTGGCATCGCAGACCCAATGTTATAATGATTGGCCTGGATGGAATTTCCCAGAGCAACTTCCACCGCAATATGCCTAAAATATTTAACCATCTGAGGATGCAGGGTTGGTTTGCGATGAAGGGATATTCCAGAGTGGGTAACAATACACTGCACAATTTAATGGCCTTACTTGCAGGCTACAGTCCTAATACTTGGATGAATCTCAAGTGCGATGCGAGTAAAGTTGGTTGCATGAAGTCAATACCGCTGATTTGGAAGCGTTTTAAGAGAAAGGGTTATATCACAGCCTATGGCGAGGGCATGTCCAAGTTGTCAATATTCAGTCTGGATAAGCTTGGATTTTTTGAAAACCCCACTGACTTTTATGCACGACCATTTTTGGAGCTTAAAAAGAAACAAGAGTGCATTGACAGGCGGTTAAATATCAAGTATATCTACGACTATTGTGAGCAGTATTTAAAGCGACATGCCAACTCATCTCGACCATTATTTGGTCTTTTCTTTGGCCAGAGTATAAGTCATGATAAATCCTATGCAAATGACAAAATGCGAGTTGAACTGTTGGAAAAACTTATGAAATTAAAGAAAATGGGTACTCTTTCCGAGTCGATTGTGGTTCTCTTAAGCGATCAGGGACCCTTGCGAAAAGGAGAAAGTAAGGACTTCCTTGAGGAAAGTATGCCCATTTTATTCATTTGGCTGCCAACCTGGTTCAGAGCCCTACATCCGGAAATAGTTCAGGCCCTGAGGATCAACAGTAAACGCCTGACTTCCCCATACGATCTGCATCTCACACTGCAGCACATTTTGGAACTGGGAGAACGTTGGCCCAGAGCAGTGGACAAACTGGTTGATTGTCCCACCTGTCAGACTCTTTTTGCCCCAGTTCCCGAGAACCGCACCTGTTCGGATGCCGGAATATCTGAAGCCTACTGCCCATGTGATAGCTACAAACTATTGCAAACCAAGCAGATAAAGCAAATGTCATTGGGAAAGCTCCTCATTCGCAGTATTAACAATTTTCTGCACAATCACAATTTACAGGAGCTCTGCTCTAATCTCACTTTGCAGTCCGTGACAATGGTGCAACAACGAAGGGATAGAAAGCCGTCAAGTGGAGGTACCTATCGAGTGGATTTCACAGCCATCCCAAATAATTCCACGTTTTCGGCAACCACTCGCTACAATCACAGGCACCAAATTCTGGAATACATAAATGTAGAATCCATTAATCGATTGAACTCCTATCGAAGTGATTCCGATTGCATGCGAAGGTTAAAGGGCAGGAAGTTCTGTATTTGCATGAGTCGAATAGTAATGGATGAACCGAATGAAAGTGTCAAGGAAGCGCAGGCCCAAAAAAAGAAGGTAGAGTCAGAAATTCCCAACCAGGAACCTAAAAAAGACTCGGAGTTAAAAAAAAGTTTCCAAAAGACAGATGATAAAAAGAAAACAGAAGATAGTCTGTTTGAATATCCAGACATGAAGCCAGAAATCAACCAAGAAATTGAAATTATATCGGTATAAACGAGTTAAGCCTGAAATAAAGTTCAACACTCCCTAGATTTTCAGTTTTTAGCTAATAATGAAGTTGTGCAGAAAGGGCTGGCTATTAATAGTTATTATATACTTTATTGTTGAGCTGCAGGCAATAAATATGAGAAATAAGCCTGGTCAAAATAATAAGGCAAGAACTAAATTGAAAAAAACGATAGATAATAAAGTAAATGATATTGTTAGTTACAAATATGACAGCATAAATCAACAATATGTGCTACTTTTAAACCAAATAGCAGCCAATCAAAGTTTACTTAAAAATGAGAATAACTCACGGAATATGAGTTTTAAATGTAGTTATAGAAGCTTAGCCAAAAATTCTTCGGGATTATATAACATTATCAAGTAAGTTTATGAATATAAATATTTAGGGAAAAATTATATTAATAATTACAATGTCTAACAGCCCGGCAGTTGAAGTTTTAATTAAAGATGGAGATGTGGTGCCCAATAACGTGGAAGCAATTATTACCACCTGTAAAAGTAAATCGGATAAGTTGCTTCAGGTGAAACCCTTCATCTTTATGCAGACTAAAAATCAAAATATTCTTATGAAAACGCGAAAGAATCAACCCAACGTGGTATTATTTGGATTCAATGGAATGACCGAAGAGTATTTTCAATCAATACTTAAAGAAATTCATGGGTCTAAGAAAACATTGTATGAAATGAATAAGTACGGCAGAAACGGAGAAAACGAAAATCAGAATCTAATTGCATTTCTATTTGGTTATGGTCAAAGTACCCAAGAAATTTTGAACTCTAATCACTCCTCGCGATATATTTTAAAGCGTTTTAAAAACAAAGGTTATCTCACTGCATTTGCAGAGGATATTAAACTCACAAATAACTTTCCCTTCGAATTTCAGAAACAACCTGCCGACTTTTACCTTGGACCTTTGTTAAAAGCAATCGCAGATAACGTGCCCTTACAAAATGAAACACATAACTTACCACAAGGTCTTAGTTCCAATTTTGTTTTCGACTATGGCCATCAATTCTTCAAGCGTTATCTCCACAGCTCGCAGCCATTTTTCGGATTCTTCTGGACTAGTACATCTGAAATTCAACAAAACAAACGCAACTTTGTGGAGTATATAAAACGATTCAAGAAGCTAGGATTGTTCAGAGAATCAATAGTGATCTTCTTCAGTGATCACGTGTGTAAGCCAATGCTGTTTTTCTGGCTGCCCATCTCGATTCGTAAACGATATCCCGGAATTATTCAGAATCTGACTAAGAACAAGAACCGGGTGACCTCGCCCTTTGACCTTTATCTCACTCTGCAAAACATACTGGAATTGGGAGGAAAGATCACCCAAAATCGAACCCAACCTGTGGGTTGTCCAACATGTCGATCACTTTTCGAGGAGTTGCCAGTAAATCGAACCTGTCAAGAAGCAGGAATTAGTGAAAATAACTGCGAGTGTGCAAACTCAGTAAGACTTCCCCAAAAGGATCCCCTAAATTTAAGCCTAGGAACCTTTTTGGTTAAAAGTCTGAACCAGTACCTTCGAAATAATCAGTTGATGGACCGTTGTGAAGAGTTTACTTTAAAAAGTGTGGAGTCAGTTTACCAAATCAAAACAAACTTCAGATCGGAACTTGACAATTATAAAGTTCAATTCATAACCCAACCGAAATCGTCCATTTTCTTTGCCACTGTTGAATATACCCCAGTGAGTCGCAATATTGAAAGTGCAGCAGTTCGATCCTTCCATCGATTTTATAAAGATGCTAGCGAATCGAAATGCGTTACAATGGAGGAGTTCAAAAAGGTTTGCCTGTGCAAGTCTGAAATAATTGTGCCCAGAACTGGGGATTATGTTAAACTAATGATAAACTACCTTATACACAAAGTAGATGACCTGGAGCAAAGTAGCTTAATGAAACAAGAGCAAATCAAAAATGATATTGACAGGCTAAAAGATATGCTGGATTATCTTCCAAGGAAGTCATTTACACGAACATCTTCGAAAGATGTCACCACTGAAAAACCTGAGAGCGATGAAGCTCATGTTAATGCCGAATTAAGCCTGCATTTTTGATGCAAAACTTTCCACCTAGCTAATAAAATAATTTGCTAAGATAAACCAGAGCCATAAATCCCTAATTTATTTGATGTCTAGGTTTTTCATTCGGGGATCTTGAGGTGGGTGCGGGATGGAATAGTTTTATCTTTGTTTGTAAATGACGCTGACAGGTGTCACCTAACTGTTTGAGTATCTGATAGATAGCAAAAAACAACTGATGAACTTTCTTGATAGCAATCAGCATACAAAACAGAAAAAGAGGATGCTCTTGTTCTGTGACAGCCTTTATATATTATTTTTAAGATACGACATGGAAAAGTGTTTGTGAAATTAATTTGTATTTTAGCAGTGCTTGTTTAACAAAATTTTACCATTACATTTACAATGGCAGTTGAATATAATTGAAGTGCTTGTTGGTACATTTCAAACCGGAAATAAAATAAATTTTCCATTTCCGATATTGCTTTTCCACCCAGTAATCGTATCTTTCAATGGCAATGGTTTCGAGGCTGATATTAAGTATCGACAAATAATACCACTGTTTCCAAGTGAATATTGAATAGATGTGTAGATATCTATCAGACAATCACAATTAGTCGCTTATCAATTGAGGGGCTGGTGCAGGTTTTATGTTTTGTCTACTTTTAAACACTGTTTACTAACTCATTATGATAATAGGCCGACAGCGCCTATCAGTATCAGTTCGGATGAGGACAGCCACCCCTGAAGTACAGTGGGGCAGTGACACGAAACACATTGCAAATACCAGAATGTTTATGTCGACCTGAACAATTTTTAATGAAATAAAAACAATAAGTTTCTCATACGAACCCCTGAATAATATTAAATTTTTTTATAATTAAAAAAATAAAATAAACATTTTAATTTAAAAAAAACTTAATTTTTAGTTGACCTCAAATGCTTTTATTTTGTCACAAATCTTTATTTATGTATTGTAAAAGTACGTATCTATAAGGTTTTTTTCTTATTTCGTAGGAATAACAATTACCTAAAAGTTGTGATTTATTCACGAAAACACTCAATTCGCTCCACTGTGCAACGTTCGCTTGGATTAAGCGTCATCGTTATTCCAAACACTTTCCACAGTCGACTCTCGCACGATTCGGATTATATTCATTCCATTAGTGCGCTGCGATAATTCGCAGGCTTCGGTTCTGCTCTGGCTCCCATTTTAACACCTCAAAAGAACCACAATTAATATCCAGGATGGCCAACAAAAAGATGTTCAACAGGACGACATCAGTTAGTCCTGGACAACTACATTATTATCACACGGATTTCTACTACTCCATGCCGGACTTGCATAGTAAGTTATAAAATAGATAAACTTGGAATTACATTAACCTTTTGTGATTTAACGGCAAAGTCTATTTTAGAATAAATGCAGACCATAAACAAATCAAGAAGTAAATAATACAACAAAATTATACAAACCTTAAAAAGAATATACATATTTTTAAAGTATGTAAATCTCCCAAAACTTAGGCAACATTTTATTGCTAATATAATTTGTTCTATTTTTTTTAAATTTATAACAAAATGGACTTAAAAATCCTTCCTGTGTTTGTGTGGTATAAATTTTCTAGGGCAGTAAGAAAATTAATATGAGGATTTATCCCTCTTTTCTTTCAATCTCGTTTACTTTGTATTTTGGTAAACAAGATATTTACTGCTTATAAGTATGAACATGAAAAAGTAATCTCATCTTCTTAAAAGTTCTTGATTAGATAAGCTTTGTGTGCTTTTTTATTAAATGCATTTATTGAACGTACCTTTAACGGCACCAATTTTATTCTTTTATTGATGTAATTAAGAAATTCATTTTATTTCTAAGAATTTATTGATTTATTGAATTTTATTTAATTTTATGTGGGTTAAATATAAGTAAAAACAAGAAACCAAGCAAACAAATTGAATATTATATGATTAGAATTGGACAATTAGAGATCGATCGATCGGAGATGCTGATCCGAGAATATATATACTTTATAGGGTCGGAAATATGGGGTCACTACGCTGCAAACTTCTGACAGCAAGGGTATAAAAACTGTTCACTTAAAAAATGTTGTAAAGTAGTTTCATTATTTTACAAATAAAACCAATAATTTTCTTAAAATATTAAAGATTTTCAGTAGCTGCCGATTTTCATACTTTTTAGTATCGATCCCCATCTACCGCATCTAAAGAAATATAATATTATCAAAAGTAATTTTTAGCCCAGTTTTCTACCTTATTTTCAGCGCAGCCAACTTCACTTCAAAACATAAGATAGTTCTCTTAACATTTTCTGGCCAAAATACAATTTTCCCGAGCAGTGTTTCTCTTTTTTGCTTACAAACGAAAGAACACAGTGAGAACTGAGAGAAACACTAAAAACAAATAATAAAACTATTTCTTAAATCAAAATATTAAGAAATTGTAGTTTCTTGCTGTGTAGCCGAACAAATTGAATTCAGTGTGATAATTCTGTTCAAAAACTACGAATTAACTTAAATACCTATTAATTTTTTTCAGTTAGAGTATTGTTTTTTAGGTAATTTTATTTTATTTTTTTTTTATGTTCCTTGTAGTTTTATTTCTTTGTTAGCTTATATAAGGTGGGATCAAATCAACTTTCTGGCAGTAAAAGCTTCAATACAAAGATCATTATGACAGTGCACGCAGTAGTTTTATTTAATACAAATAAAGAAAATCCAACGCATTAATAAAACTCTTGTTGACTTACTCGGTCTTATCAGTAGAGAACAATGATCCAAAAAAGAATGTTGGTGTAGTATGCTGAGTGTATTTTTTTTAGGGTTTTTACCTTATTATTTTTATTATTAGATTATTTTTTTGAGTGTACTCTTAAAACAGAGAGCGGAGAGAGCATTTTGCATTGCGCTATCGCGTCGTCTATATTTCTTTGGGGTTAAAATTTCCATTGCAGCAGTTTCCGTCTCATTTGTTGGACTGCTTTGTGAGTGAATTGAAGCGTTTTGTTTTTCCTCTGGCGAGTCGAGTAAAAATTTCGTAATAATAATGACTGATAACATTTAACCAACTGAAAAGTAGCGGAGAAATGCTTAGTTACACTACAATTAAAAACGACCATGAATTTATAAATATTCAACTACGTGTTTCAAAAACAAACAAAGATATGCGGAACCAGAGCTAAAAACAAAGTGTTAAATAGAAAAGACAACGGGAGAAATTCGAACGAGAGAGCGTGGGAGAGAAAGAGAGTGCGAGAGAGTGTCGCGATAAGAGAGAGAGCTCAAATTGTTGATTAAAATGTGTGTCAAAATATAACAACAAACAGATGGGTAAATCATTTGTTTTTGATAATATATCGTGGGAAGCGGCACGTGTTTTTTGGGTTTTTAATAAACATCGTATAGCAACCCATATACACCCGTCTAATTTTGGATGTATGCTCACCTAAGCTACTTAGTTGTTAAACAAAAAATAGAAAACCAAACAATAGAAAAGACAACAAAATCGACAACTGCATGTGAAATTCACAAAAAATCGCACTTGTCACCACTTTTCGACGTCAGCAAATCCCAAAGATATAGAGCAAATATAGGAAAGATACGGAAAAGCGAAGTGTGTAAGTGCCAACTACTAAAACAAGAGATACAATTCAAAATTCAAAACAACATGTGTAAATTTGATTCGATTCCCACGGCAAAATAAACAAACAAGAATAACATTTCCACAGGTGCTGGCGGCGGGGTTTGTATTTCAAATGCATATTTCCGTCGCGGCTACAAATGTTTTTCAAAACCAGAAAAAAACCGGCTATTATAATTTCAAGGATTTCTACATCATACCTAAAACAAAAGAAAACACTTAAAAAAAAGTTTTGATACACGGCTTGTGTTGTTTTTTTTATTTGTTTTATTAAAACATTAGTTAATAGCTAAATAAAATATTTAAAGCATTAAATAAAGTGCATTTAATATTACAAACATTTTAAATTTGTACTCTCATTTTTTTTTGACAAAAAACTTAAAAGCATATTAACTTTGTGCATTAATAAGTGAAAACATTGCGTTTATGTTGATATAAAGTTTCTAAAAGAAATATTAAAATTTAATTTTTCTGTGTTTTTTTACACCTAAGAAACGGAAATAAAAGAAAACGTTGTCGAAAATGCAAAGAATGTAAACAAAAAAAAAACACCAATAATACGCGACCTATGCCATTTTTTGAGGCCACATATAAGTGTCTTTGTCATGGGGAAGACCCCAGAAAAACTCACAAAGGAAAATAAAAACCGGCAATCGTATAGAGAAATGGAAAGAAAGAAATTTTACCTAGTATACCTCTCTTCAGATGGCGACAATCAATTGTTGTTAAATCAAGACTACAGATAGTATTAGTGATAAGAAAAGTAGGGCACAGATGTTTACCAGCTCAAAATTTCAATACGATTTAAGTTTTATTTTATTTAGACGAGAAGAAAAGAAAGCTATCAAATCAAAGCACAATCAATTTACCAAATTACTTTATTAAGCTCTTACCAAATACTAGCTATAAATTATTTATAGAGATAAGTTAACAAACGGTTTATATTGGGTGCAATTAGTTAATAAAAGATTATATAAATATTAAAAAAAAAATTTTTTTTTTTTTTTTTTTAATGATTTTTATTCATATAACTATTACTATTATTTGTTATTTTTAAAATTGTGTAAATTGATATGCTCTAAGAAATTGGTTTAACTATTTGAACTATGTAATTATTAACTAGTTATTTGATTAAAATAAAGTACTATTTGAAACGGGTTTCCTACTTAATTTAACCAAGTAGTTAATTCTGCCTGATTAACATTTTGTTATTAGTATTTGCTGTATCCAGCGGATTTTAATATAAGGTTGACTTATCTCTCGAATGTGTGCAGCTTTTTCTTTAATTCTTTAGCGTTTTTTTTTTTATCAGTCTGTGCTTAACATGTTTCGTTGATAAGCACAAGAGAGCAGCGAAATTTGTTTATGATACTGTTTTCAGCTCGAAGCACATTTCAGTTGGGTTCAAAAAGCACTCGACAAAAACGTGACAAATAAAAAAATACTCGTGTGTGCCATAAATACTATATTTATGTCACATAAGTATTGCATATATGAAATTTTGTTCATGTATTCCTGATCACAACTCACTCGCTCACGTTGATAAGACCAGACTAATATTAACATCATTTTCACGAGTGGAAATAGGGCTTATCAAAGTTGGCATCATTAGGCGGTTGGTAATTAACTAAGGCACCTGATAACCACTATGCGTAACATTATGTGAGATTGAAGGGTAATATAATGGAGGACTTGAAGAAAATAATGCGTAATGGGAAATTTAAGGGGTACAAATTAAGAAACAACATCTCTTTGTTCCTATACTCCAAAAACACAAAGTATACATATACCAACATATTTTCCTTTATGATCTCAAAATAATTTCTCATTTTTACAAAGTTATTTTAATAATTTATATTTGGTGTAAGCTCAGATCGCTGTCTTACTTTTGTATAGTTTATTTATAGCTTACAATTTAATGGGATAATATACGATATGGGAATATATATAATATATATACATATATTCATACGTTCTTTTCGGAACTAAAGATAGCTAAAACTTAAAAATGAATCACTTTAAATGGCTATATCTTTGCCTCTGTCAAAAGGAAAATATGTTAAATATCTACAAGAACCTAAAAACAAGCTGTAATAACTTGGTAGAAATGAGAAATATAAATATACGTTGTAGAGATAAACACTCATATATAGTAAATTAATAAAAAGAATTAGGTTTTTAAAGATTTATTAAATACATTTAGAAATATATTCTTAGAACTTGCCGCTACTGATGTAAATGGTTATAAGTCAAGTGCGAAAAGCGAATCTTATTCCGCAAAAGCAAGTCGGAGAAGAGCGAATGTTGCGGAGTTTTGGGTCGCTAAACATCGATCAAACAGAGGCTGTCACTTGGCTGGCCATCGATCTGGACCTGCCAATTGGATCTTGTGAATAGCTTAGTTATACACTGGGCCAGTGTCAATAGTCGTGTCGGCTTGTTGATACAATCTCGCCTCTCACAAATACTCGACTGGGCATATAAAAATATAGGAGGGGGCGGCGGTAGGCGTGAAAACAAACTGAGGCGGCGAGACTAATTTGATAATCGCACAATCAGACAGTGTACAACAAACCTGGCTGGCAATCGGACGTATTCGCTGAAAACTGTTTTTTCCCCTTCATCCTTTTTCCTTTTTTGAGCCTCCAAGATGCAGCCCTTAACGGAATATCACTTTGAAGGTGCCCCGTCAGGCCATAATAAAATATATAATAATATATATAATATACGATGTTATCACGAGATACTAATCTTTGTCGTTATCTTATTGTACTCTTGCAGAAACCCGCAAAATGCACGGCGTGAAGAGGGTGCTGATCTTCTGCCTGATGATTGTAATACTGCCGGCCATTCTTATCATTATGCCACTGCATCTGCGAAAGACGGTCTTTGCGGATGTCGTCTATCCCATGGCGGAGTCTGATATCATTGAGATTCGGGCCGGAATCTCGTCCATTTTCTGCTCGAAGCACACCCTGCGAATGAACTCCAATTTCAATGCATTTCAACTGAGGAACAAGCCCGAGATCGCCACGAATCGCAAGCATATTAGGCTGAAGAAGTCGATGACCCTGCCGGATGATACCCTGGAATACTGGGGCTTCTTTTTGCTGAAAGGGGCCCAGGTGCATGTGAAACTGTGCTCCCGCTACGATGGCTCCAGTATCCTGATCATCCATGGTCACAGGGAACTAAATCTTTGCGGCCTAACCGATCACAATAAGAACAAGGTGGACGCCAACTATGCCAAAGGCCACGAACAAGTGCAGGTGTTCTTCGAAGATAATGTGGAGATCACGGAGGAGAAGAGCAACCAGGACACTTTGATGGAACACGAGAACCACGGTGGCGAGGACCTCAGCGAAGATGAATCGCAGCCTCAGTTGAATATTCCACACAAGCATAATGGATCGGGACAGCCAAAACTTTTGCAGAAAAAAATTAAAAAAGGTGAAATTCATCACAGTGATCACTACTCGAATGCTGTTACAGATCTGCAAGGATCACACCACAAGGAGCATATTTTAAATCATCACGATCACAGCTCAAATTCACCTGCCCATCATCATAATCACTCTTTGAATGCTCCAATCCAGCACCAAGATCATTCCCAGACGGATTCGAATGCCACAACCGATGAAACTAGTCACAATCCCAAACACATTCTAAATGAGGATCATCCAGATCATCACAATTCGAGTGAGGATCATCCAGGTCGCAAATTAAGTGAGGATCATCCAAGTCACAATTCGAGAAAGCATCATCCAGATCACAATTCAAGAGAGGATCATCAAAACCACAATTCGGGAAAGAATCATCCAGATCACAATTCAAGTGAGGATCGTCCAAGTCACAATTTAAGTGAAGATCATCCAAGTCGCAATTCGAGTGAGACGCATAGTTCAAATAACGGGCAACACCGCCAACGGCCAAAAAGACATAATGGCATGAGTCATAGAAATCAGAGAAGGCATGAACTGTACGAGAAGCTCTACAAAAGATCGAAGCGGGATAATGTCTACGATAGAAAACCCATGCACGGAGGCAATGCGATCAACTTCACGGAAACCGACGAGTCCAATTCGGTGTCCAGTTTCGAAACTGGACTGAAACAGTGCTTCGATGGAATGAGGCTGCTGCAGAGGTTCTTCAAGCCGAAAAACGAGTGCTCCATTTCGCACATCATGGAGCCGTCGTCGAACAAGAGTTCGATGGTGGTGCACAATGTGATCGAGGATGGCTACTACTACTATATATTCTACAGCGACAACGATTACGTGAAGAACGAGATTCATGCCATATTCGATATATACAAGCCGACGTATCAGTACGCAAACATGAGCGAATCGCAGAGCTGTCTGAACACCTCGAACTGCACTTTCAACATCAATTTCCTCTCCGACGAGATCGTGGTGGTGGAGGTGCCCACGCGGGATGGCATCGAGCACGAGGAGGACGACATAACCAACCTGATCTCCACGTGCCATCCGCGCAGCGAGATCTACGCCATATTCCCCATCACCGTGCTCGTCCTGATCCTCTGCTGCTCCTTCCTGTAGTCCCCCCAAAAATCCACTGCAATTCCGGCGAAGTCTTGTGATATTAATAGGGAGGCAACTACCGGGTGATATAACGTGATGGCCGGCCCCAAAACGAGAGCTTTTCGAGTAGCCATAGTATATCTATATCCCATATCGATTATACACACGGAATGAACAGTCTGAACAATTCGTTATCAATATACGTAGTTTGTAATATCGATGTAGCCTAAGACGCAAGCATTTCAAAGTCTACAAATACTGGATTATTTTAGGAATGTAAGACGTATATATAATTTGTATATTGTATAAAAACAATTGTAGATAAAAGTAATTTTAAGGAAGAACTTTAGTACTTATCAACCATATAACTAATTCTCATTTTGTATCGGGACATACCTCTTTGATCTTTTTGTTGACCTTAAATTTGTTCATTTAACTAAGTAGATTCAAATTTAAAAGAGAATTTTTATTAAAAAAACTGACCATAGTTTAATCGAGATTTTTCGTTAAAATTGGTATTATCAATTGTAGTTTTAAGTTAATTTTTCAATCAATTTCAAATGACAGAATGCATTTTTTCTTGTTATTTTCAAGACATTTGCAGACATTCGGTCGGGGTCGTAATTATAAGCAGAATATTTTCCATTGGCTCTAATTTCTAATTTCAGGACAGAAATCCACGTTGTTGATTCTAGTTATTTTGGATTAATTCACACACAAGTCAGTCATTCAATGCTTATTTGCCGCTCGTTTGTGTGTGACTTGTTATTTTATTTCCTAATTTGGCCACGGGAGTAATGCAAATATTTACACAAATTGTATGCCTGCAGTTGGCATAATAAATGAATGGAAAATAACATTGTCATCAAAAATGAATTAATATACTTTGTAGTCTCTTGGTTTATTGCGCTAAATTGAGCAGCGCAAACACAGTGCCTTGGATTATCCGATTAACATAGTTTCATTAGGTAAAGCATACGTAAATATAGTAAACCAAATAAATAAATAAGTACACAAAGTGTTCAACGATATCCATTTTTTATTAGCATGTTGGGGGTGAAATAAAAGACAAAAAGGTTTTTTTAAACAGAAGATCGTTATGAGCGTAGAGAAACAAAAGCTAACGGCTATGAAACTAAGGTTGCTACATCGACTGATCTACATATCTTACAGATGAGTAAAAAGCGCGTAGATGTATGTAAAAACACAATGTTAAATATTAAATATTTTTCTAAAGCCCTTGCTTAATAGTTAAAATTTCTTCCTGCTTTTTAAATAAAGGGGAACACATTTCTCATAGAACTAAGGACAATTTCACTAAAGCTCTATTCCATCGAGCTTTATTTAAATTCCAATTCAATATTTTTCTAATAGTTAAAATTTTTCCTGCTCTTTAAATAAAGGGGAACACATTGCTCATAGAACTAAGGACACAATTTCACTTAAGCTCTATTCCATCGAGCTTTATTTAAATTCCAATTCAATCTAAAAATTAAATCCTATCCCATAAATTATTTAAATTTTTTAATTTTTCAGATACCTTTAGTTGGATGTATCAAAATATTTAGATGCCATTATCAAAGTTCATTAAAGTGCCGTGGAACACCCAGAAAATGTATGACTAATTAAAAATGCCAGTTCTCGATTTATCTTACTTGTCACATTTGTCTGCACACAAGAACTGATGTATGTGTTATATCTTATCTAAATTGATCGATAGCACACAGTTATTTGAAACATGAAAATTCAATACTGGTGGCTACAGTTCGTAACCAAACTATATCGATTATGCTTATTATAAACTATATTTATTTCTTCATTACACTTGACAAAAACAAGTTAATCTCAAAAATTTCTGAGCGGTTTATTTATAAGTGATGCTGATTCTGGTTTCAAATAAATTATTAAATTATTAGGAGACTAAAAAATCAGAAAAGCCGGTTGTTAATGTAGATAGCGGATCAAAGATTTCTTAACGCGTGCTAGTGCTTATAACTTGTTTAATTACAGTCCAATCAGAACAATTAATATGCTTTTTAGAAAGGTCAATACTGACTCACTTAGAAAGTACAGTAATCAATTGATACGATATATTTTTTAATAGCATTTCTTAAATGTAACTTTAAATATTAAATATAAGGTGAACGGGAAAACTTTTTTAGATATTCACAAACAATTTGTAAAAAATTAACAGCTATTCAATCCTCTGTATTTATCAATTAAAAATATTATTTATAATAAGTGTTAAATAGATATTACACACGTATTTGGGTTTAAGTCAAAAAAAGGCAATAGTGCAGTGGTTTAATTATTGAAGTTCGACTGTTTACTTTTTTTGCAGTAACCGCAAGACCATAATTACTGTCAAACATGTTTTTTGTGAATATCTCATAACGGTTATTTTGAATTTTTTTTTTAAATAATCATGTTTAGAGATTAGTCTTAAAACCGGGTTTCAAAGAGATTAATTTCTCGTAAAAACTTATGATATGAAACTCAAAATATTTATTTAACATATTTAGGAAGATGAATTTAAGAGAGCACAGCTAAAAATTAAGAGATCGTCTAACTAGAAAATTACACCCCGAAAAGCAAACCCTTAACCTAGACAATAATTCTGAACAGCTGTTTTTCTTCTCATCAAATTCCAAAATTCTGAGAGCAAAGTGATTAATAAATTAAGTTTGTCCTCTCAATTAAATTTATTCATAATCTATTCTTAAACATGAAGTATTTGGTTTGTAAATGCTCTTTTTTGGTGACGCTCTCTTTTACTTTTTCTCTTTCTCTGAAAAAAAAAACGATGCAGCCGGTTAGCAAGAGAATTAGCCGGCTATTCTTGCTATCTGCCTCCCCAACCAACAACCTCCCCACACCACCCCTCAACCAAGCAAAGAACAGATGCGCGCGAGACAGAAAGTGCTCTCTTCAGGCCTTTCAGCACGCTCTTTTCACTTCCAAAGGGGCAGTTTTAGAATCGCGACGTTCAGTTCTTTTTGTTTGTCCGAAGCGTTTGCTAGTTTTTCGCGCTTGTCGAGGAGGAAAAAGGGGGCGGAAAATAAGTTTAATTAAATATTTCGAGTGCCCCGACTAACGCGGTAATTAAGTGAATGTGCAAGACGTGAGTGTAATCGTAAATACATACTCGTCGTACGATAAAAAAAGCTTTTTGGAAGCGTCCTGTGATGGAGAAACGTGTGAGAGATTGTGCAAAAAATCAATTCGTAAGTAAATGGACGCCGCGGCAGCAGGTTAAATAAACACAAATTAAACGTTCGTGAATTTTTACCTATGTCGCAAAACTATTTGGTCAGCACAAATTGCACCTTGTGCCAAAACAGAAAACGCAACGAATATGTATAAAGCGCAAAACAACGTGACAGTGAATATCTAAAGGAAGGTGAAGAGTACGAATAAAAACACTTTCGCATTCTTTTTTTTGCACAAAACAAAAAAAAAAACAAGTTTAAAGAACTGTAGTGAAGAGTAACGAACGAAAATATATATAGCCTTCCAACTGGATGGTAACTTAAATGGAAACAGGAGGAAGTGGAAGGAAGAAACATTCGCTTGGTGCCCTTCTTCCAGTTCAACCACACACACATTGCTAGCCCCTTTTCTGCAGGTTAATATAAACTTGTGCAGAGAAGTGATGAAAATAAAATAAAAGTTTTAAAACCCTGTAATTTATTTGTGTATCTTGTGAAAAATGTTTTAATATGTTTAAAGTAAATTAATAAATTTAAAATTGTTTTTCATTTAGTTGACAATAAAATTATTTAGGTTGTAGAAATCAAATTTAAGTAATAGTACTGGCAAAACATCACTACAATTTTTAAAATCTAAAATCTCATTCCGGCCATTTCCTTGGGTTTTTAGCTTAGTACTCAGATTGATTAAACTTTTAATGTTTTTGCTAGGGCCTGACGAACGTTTACCCTAAGTTAATTTTAGCGGACTGGCAACGCTGGCTTTGAAAAATTTAATCTTTTAAAGTGTCTGTTGTCAGAGCATAGTGTTTCTTAGGTCAAAATTGAACGGAAAACCCCAACAAAAAACCCAGTAATATCGCCTGAAAAAATTTAGAGCAGCTATAAACTTTAAATTACCAAATAATTATCAGTAAATTAAAAAAAAAAAACTGTTAAATTTAAATTGTTTTGTTTTATTTTTTTTTTTGTATACCGGCAGACTAGTCTTGCCAAATTTCTTGAGAATATTTACTGTCCCTTTCCCGCAGATATGTACGTTTTTTTTAATTTTTAACTGTTTGACAAGAAGCTCAGCTGACAAACTTGTTTTTCGATCTCAGTACTAGGATTTACTGGCTTTATTTTTTCGTTGATACATATCGAAAAGTGATCAGTGTTCGGCAGACATTTGCCTCTCGCTCTCTCTCATAGTTGATGAACAGATTAAATCAATCTGACTACTAGTCTTAAAAAAACGGCAAGATCAGAAGCAAAATGTTATCTCTTTAAGTGGATGAAAATGTGTTATTCTAGCAGCTGTTGGAATACACTGATAAAGAGGCATGGAAGTGTCTTTCCTATTCGTTGTATCTTTTCTTATCCTGGTGTTTGTTGTTATTTTTAACACTATTACATTCCCTTCCACCAGACAGCTGCCCTTTGCCTCTCTTGTAACTTTCTGTGGCTCTCTCAAGTTGTCATTTCCGTTCTGTGCTCAGCGCGACACGTCCCCTGCCCCGCCCCCAGTGCAATCATGGGGTGAATTTGCCTGCGCTTACCTTAATTTATTTGTTGTTCCAATTCCACTCTCTTCACTCTCTTGAGTTTGCGAGAGTGCAGCACATGTGATTGTGTCTTACTGATTAGTCGCCTTGTTGTTGGAGTAATTTGTATGCAGATTACACCCAGTGGTTTTCATTTCCATTCAACTGATAAGGAAAGCGAAAATTCCGGCTGCGTATGTATTTCTGGTTTTTATGCAGGGCTATCATCATTAAGCCTAGTACTCAGATTAACGAAATCCGTTCGTCAACGTTGCGAGAGAGCGAAAGGCAAAACGCTGGCGATCGTCGAAAAAATTAACAGCAAATTAAACCGCGTTGCAAACCACCTGAAATGAACTCTGTGTGAACGTTCATCAGGCCCTAGCGAAATGTTTACAAAATTTAATCTTTTGAAGTGTGTGGTTTCAAAGAGTATTTCTCCGATCAAAAAATGGATGGAAAACCCCGTAAAAAGAGAAAAAATCGCCGGAAAAAGCTTATGTATGTGTGATGAGAAAGCAGCTTTGGAATTTAAATAATCAATTAAATTTAAATACAAAGAACTGCTGTTAAATAAAATCATATTGTTTTGTACAACGGCAGATTCGTCTCTCCCTTTTTCCATCATGTATGTTTTTTCTGGAAACACTTGTTCTAAACATTTTTGTTTTTGTTAAATTTCTTAAATTGATTTGTTTATACATGGATATACTCTCAAAAATTCGGTTACACTGAAAGGATTTATTATTCCTTTTGTGAACGTGTTTTTTGACCTAATACTAATGCTATTAAAAAATTCCAAACTTTAAATTCGAAAAGTTCGACTGACTTTGAACGTTTCAAATGTCAAATCGGAAAAAGTTATAGGTTAATGTATTGTTTTGAGCGATCGTTCCTTGTCAGCAGCTTAAAAAATAAACATACGACTTAGATTTAATTCGCTACCCACTCAAAAGAGTAAGCACTTGGTAAACTTTTTTAGGATTTTATTCTTAAAAATATTTTAATTTACACTCGAAAAAAGAAAATTTCTTTGAATGTTTATAGATATGAAATTAATTATTGAAATATTCAATGCTAAATTTCGCTAAAATTGTACATGTATGCACTCAACCCTTTATGAACTCTTCAATAAAACCGCGTTTATAAGGTTGTATGATTTATTTTATTTGTCTTTCAACAGTTTTTTATCTAGCAAATATTTGTGTTTTGATTGGAGTGACAGAAACTGTGTCGGAAAAAAATGGAACAATAAAGTACTTCAATAAAAATAATCGTTTTTTACAATTCTCATGAAATTAATTTTTAATTGGACTTTTATGTTCTAAGTTCTGACTTATTAAAATTTGGGTCATTTTGTTTGTGAAGACAAAAGTTTTTATTTGAATAGGATGGCCCATAAACCTCAAACCGGGGGTTATACCCCAAGGGCTAATTTATACAAAATATCATTCAATAGTCTCCACAATCTTGCCGTTTGACGTATGAATTAGATGAATAGACCTAGACCTTAGCTATCAGCAATGATTTCAAATGAACACTTTATTAAGAATTCCGCTAATCAAACAGATTCCTAATATAAGTCATTAATCAGCGTTTTCGTCACTGCACATGTTTATATATATTAATGTTCATATATAGTTTATACATTTTACATAATCTATCAACTAAGTAGAACAAATCATAATTAAAGTTGACGATCAACTTAGATAACTGATATTATTAGTGAACAGACTTTTTGCAGCACTCCTTTCTTTTTTATCTGAAACAATTCGTCATTGATTAGTCAGCGACATGGGTTCAACAAAATTTGTTCACATACATGTGGTGCATGTGGTGCTTACTGTATAGCTACTAAATTAACAAAGCCACTGACTTTTGAAACGGATGTACATACATAGCCATATTTCCCTTTGTAGCTTGATAACAATTCTCCGCAGTCCAGTTGCACGTTGATAAGCACCAATCTATTGTACGAATAGTTTCTGTATTGTTTATCTGAAAGGGAAGTTACTGAAAGTGAATTTAAATAAAACAAGACCCATAGAGCAAATTTATATAGAATAAACTACTTTGTATTCTTGCTCCGAAAATAAAAACAGAAACTGAATCAAAATATATGCGTGATCGTAGAGCGTGGCTGATTTTATTGACCGCAGATGAAGAGCGGGCTAACAAAACAATTTAACAATTGGTTCGGTTCGGTTTCTGGTTTTCGATCTTTTTTTGTAGTGCAATGAATGGACAGTCACGCTAAAGTGAGTTTAGGGCAGCAATGAAATCAACTCCATTAACTGAATGACAATAATAAATTAATTTTAACGGCATTTCAACTAACAGATGCTTTATTGTCCATTACTAAAATGAAAAATAGATATTCATATAAAACCATCAATGAAGTAGTTAAATATATTATGTATGTAATTACATTTGTTTGATAAACTATATCTATATCTATGTATTGGTATTATTGTAGGATCGGAGATGGTCTTTTTCTTTATATTATAAACATAAACATGTAATACAGACTTTTTGCAAGGGTAATAAATTATGAATCTGGATATAACATTTATCTATTATTACATGTAGATATTCTGATAAGCTATTAAAGTACATTTATTTTTATCCCGTTTGTTGACTTATAAGACAGAAAGTTATCTCTTATGCTAGATAAAACAATCGTCACGGCCTTAGACACCTTAACATAAAGACACGCTAATATTTTACGATCTGACCAAACGTTTCTTAACTTTTGTTATCTCATCAAGGTTTTTTTAGACTTCTACTCCAAATAACGCTTATGTTATACAACACTGTGCCGTAATTGTATGAATAAAACCAACTACCAGATAACAAATATAACAATAAAATAGATTGCTAGACAGGATGAATTATAGGCACGTTCATATTCGTGTTACTGAATAACATGTCATTATATCATTTTCTTTTTTGTTCACCTACTAATTTTTCAATTGACAGCTGCAGTGCATGGGATAGTTTTACGTTGGCAATGGGTCTAAAATTAGACAATTTCTAGATCAAATATTTGCTTTGAATCGTGAACTCTTGTGTATATTCTCTCCACGCAAATCGGGCATCCAGAATGCAGTTTGACTGACGATAGTCAGTCGGTTACAATGATAAGCAAATATGCTGTTAAATTGCGTTTAATTGCAATTTACGTTGAATGGGAGCGGCGTTGGAGGTCTGACATGTTGTTCATGACTAAATTTAATTAATTTGCAATTACAATTGCAATTTCGCCAAGCAAGCCGGGCAAACATTGTAGTCTGTCCCATCCACACAATAATTTGCGATCTTGTTTATCCCAATGATTGATGCTATATTCAGTGGTTTATCTCAGATTTCCCAAATCCTTGACCTGCTAATTGGGCATCCTTAGTGGGATTCAGTCTGAAGCTATCAAAGTCATCGATGCGCAGCGGAATGGACACGAGTTTAACGAGGCCGAAGAACACAATTAGACACAACACAATGGTCAAAATCCATTGGCATAGTGGCACTGAAAGACACAGAATATTATATTTAACTCCTTTACAAGTTATTTAAACTCTTCAGACCTTTACTGGTGGACCACGGCAGCGAAATCTTAGATAATGTCATTTTATCACACTTCACACTTTGGTGACTGAACTCCAAATGAGAAATGAATTCGAATTGAAATATCCAGATCTAAAACGCAAGCCAGCTGATCAAACAAATATTACGTCTACAATATTTAAGCCATTCATACAAACAGTGATCTCTGGGAATAAAGCGCAACTACAAGAAAATATGATATTATACCTTTATAAATGCTGTTTCTTTAAAAAGAAAATAGTAAAGACACGGAAATTAATTAAATTGTCAATTCTTAAGATACACTGTATACATTCTTCCACCTATTGTTTTCCTCAGACAATTAAAAACCCTTGTTATTAATAATCTTTGATCGTATTATTCTACAGATACAAAAACTTTAAAAGTTAATGACAAGTTTATCATTTTTGCCACGGGCAACTTTAAGTATGTTTCTATTGATAAGGGGATTCCTCGAAACTTAGGTAATAGATTTTCTTATCTAGCCGACGAAACTTGACCCACAAAATGTTATTAAAAACCATTGAATGTATCGGCCGTCGCTATCAAAGTTCTAAGGCAATATTTTCATTCTTGGTGCCAGGTAATATTAAGTGCTTGATAAGGTCCAATAATGATAATGGACATACCCATGTGATTCACCAAAAAACAATTAGCAAAATGCCTATTCCATTATATCCATAAATGTTTTCTGGTTTTCACTTACTGATAAGTTGAAACTACAGCGACAAACAAAAGAGAACAAAACTGAGAACTGCCGGAAAATGCAGCTGCAAATTGCTTAAAAAACCTCTGCTTTTCGGTTGTCTGACTGCATTTATTAACGAAGTGTCGACTTGTCCGGGTTTAGAGCTGCAGCCAAGTTTGAATTGTTTAAGCCCAATCCGCTGTCGCAGCTGTTTTGCATCCTCCTGCTATAAATAATACCATTATCATTGTTTAATTAATGCAAAATCATCAAGTAAGTGATAAACAAAGCATTTGCTAAACGATGACTGCAGCAAAAGAAAACAATGAGATCTACATGCTTAAATACAAGATTTAATTGATCTAACAAATATGACGTTAGGCAAAAAAGTTGAAAGATCGATACAGCCTAATAAAAGAAAATGTTAATTTATTTTAGTCATCAAGTAAAATCATTCTTTAAATTTCTTTGTACATATCACAAAAAATTGGCAAAATAATACAAGTTTTTGCCTTTACTAATCATGTTTGTGCCACTAAATATTTTCTTTTTTGTGTTAATATATAATTGAGACTATTATAAATTTTAAAATACATAAAATAAAGCGTAAGCGTTGGTTCCATTATCAGTAAACAAACCAACCATACTTAAAGTATAGTTTATTAATTAACATTAATTATGCAAGTAACACTAAATGAGTGCTTAGTTCAACGACACCACCCAACACAATCTATTATATTAGTTTAGTGGTCGTCAAGCTCGTTCAAACCGCAACGGAAAAAATTATCTTTATTACAGTGTCAAAAGTGTAATTGCTTTTCTATTTGCACTTCGCAACTAAATAAGCAAATTCTTGAGTTCCCAAATCTTCAAAGATTCTTTATGTTGTCTGCTAGTTTTATGACACAAACTCGAAAATAGCAAAACTCTTTGCAAAGTCTTTTTGCGATGTTGATGTATGCCAAAAAGTCAACGTATTGCAGTTATCTAAAATGAGGAAAATACACACAGACATGTGCAAAGTTAAAAATGGGCAAATAAGAAAAAATTAAAATGCTTTCAGAAATATTAATATTTATCAGCAACGCGGTGGCCACAGAATGCAACTCCGAACAGAGGCAATTGTCACGTTTTGCATGAGATTAACACAGTTCGACTTAACCGGGCGGAGGCGAGTCAAACCGAGCAGAACCAGCTCAATGTTCAGATAGTTGACTCCTATGCCCGAGTGCAGATGCGAACCAAAAAACCAATTGTGATTTACTCAAATACGTGGCTAAAAGCTGGGTTTTATTCCTTTGTATTGCAGAAAATGTAAGGCGAATCCTCGGTGGATTTCCCAGCTGAAGAAACGCAACCAAAGAAGCTGCCAGTCCTCAAAACGGCACTCTGCCGACACTCAGCCTCAAAGTTCCTCACAACCTCATACCAGTGAACTCAAAAACTAAAGCCAAATGACTGCCAACAGTCTGCTAGGAAGGTCCTTACTCAATGAAGGTGAGTAGAGTCATAATTGAATTGTCTGCTAGCTATTTTGGTATCCCATAAACGCTCAGTTAAAATAATAATTACAATTTATTACAAATGTTTATAAACGCTACCCATTTTCGGCGACGATAAGTTCGTATTGATAATATCTACCTAGATAAATAAACATCTAGAAACGTAATTACTTTTTATTAATGATTCGCTTTACAAAATTATCTAATCATATTAATTGAATGATAACAAAATGACCAAAATTAAAAATATATCTTGCTTTAAAACATGAAGAGTATTGAACTGAGTTTTTACTTGTCTGATTAGCTAGTTATACCTTTTGTATCGATATCTAATCTATGACTTTTGTTATCCATAGGACGCTCGAACAAGCGATCGTTTGTGTCCCTGATTGTGGGACTGGTCGTGGGATTCTGCCTGGCCGAGCTGTTCGTGTACTCCTCCACGCCGGAACGCAGCGAATTCATGCCGTACGATGGACACCGGCACGGTGATGTCAACGACGCCCATCACAGCCACGACATGATGGAGATGTCGGGGCCGGAGCAGGATGTCGGGGGCCACGAGCACGTCCACGAGAACTCGACCATTGCGGAGAAACTGTACAGCGAGGTGCGAGTGCTCTGCTGGATCATGACCAATCCGAGCAATCACCAGAAGAAGGCGCGCCACGTGAAGCGGACCTGGGGCAAGCGCTGCAACAAGCTGATCTTCATGAGCTCGGCCAAGGATGACGAGCTAGATGCGGTGGCCCTGCCCGTGGGCGAGGGTCGCAACAACCTGTGGGGCAAGACGAAGGAGGCCTACAAGTATATCTACGAGCACCATATCAACGACGCCGATTGGTTCCTGAAGGCCGACGACGACACCTACACGATAGTGGAGAACATGCGCTACATGCTGTATCCGTACAACCCGGAAACTCCCGTCTACTTTGGCTGCAAGTTCAAGCCGTACGTGAAACAGGGCTACATGTCCGGCGGTGCCGGATACGTCCTCAGCCGGGAGGCAGTGCGTCGCTTTGTGGTCGAAGCCCTGCCCAATCCGAAGCTGTGCAAGGCGGATAACACGGGTGCGGAAGACGTCGAGATTGGCAAGTGCCTACAGAATGTCAAGGTCCTGGCGGGCGACTCCCGGGACTCCAACGGACGGGGCCGCTTCTTTCCATTCGTTCCGGAGCACCATCTGATCCCGGCGCACACGGACAAGAAGTTCTGGTACTGGCAGTACATCTTCTACAAGACCGATGAGGTGAGTCGATATAGGAAAAAGTACAACAGCTTTCGACTAGCATTTTAACTATATTCTTAACTATATTATTCAGACTCCATTACAAATTTTATTTTATCTTGAAGAACTAACTTGGTTTTGTGCCACCTTTTTTCTGTAGCTAGCGATTTCCAAAACGCGAGTTTTTTTTAAGCTTAGTTTTTTAAAGTTTTGACAATTCTACTTGACTTGTATTCAAAAATGTATAATAAATATATTTAATTAGTATCACCATTCAAGTTTATGTAGATCTGTCCTCAGATATGATCAATTGAAAAATCCTAACTGATTTGTCGGATATTTCCTATTATAGCTTTTAAAATGTTTTGCGAATATTGGGCTGTTTTTGGACATTTTCCTTTTATTTTAATAACGAATACAATATATCTATTCAACTTAAGACCATAATCTATTCACTTGAGGAAACTAACACCTTGTTTATATTTTAAAAGGCCTTGAAAAAGATTATTTATTTAATCAGTATATCATTTCACATACTAATTATATCTTACAGTTCAAAATAATAATTTATTGCTTTTTTTTCAGGGCCTGGACTGCTGCTCGGACAACGCCATTTCCTTCCACTACGTCTCCCCCAATCAAATGTATGTGCTGGACTATCTAATCTACCATCTGAGGCCCTACGGCATTATAAACACGCCGGATGCATTGCCCAATAAATTGGGCGTGGGCGAACTGATGCCCGTGCCTAAGGAGCAGCAAACGGAGAGCTCGAGTGATGGGGTCTCTAAGAGATCCGTCGAGGCAAAGACGCAATAATAGAGACATTTGGATACACTCTTAATGTATATAGATAGCATTTGTATATATTTATAGATAATTGTGTATTCCCACATAATGTATCACTATAAGCCATTCTAGCATTGCCATTACTATTTTTATAAACATAAATCTAATTTAAGTCGTCGGTCCTTTGATTTATTTGCATTTCCTCAATGTCCCCGAAAGGTTTCGTTTGGGCTCTATTGCAGAGCTCGTTCCTTTTGTAAAAATACCAAACCTAGGTATAATTTAGATCTGTTACTATAGTTTGTAATTAAATCTAGGTTGTACAATTACAAAAATCATCACTAATAGGGCGCATTCACTATTCTACTCTAGTTTTCCATCGTTGAGTTAGCCACATGCATATTTATAAGTCGCCTAAGTAATTCCTATACATATGTAGCTATAAATAGATATATCTCTTTTGTGATTGAGATTATTACGTATTATAGATATTAATCTTCTACAAGTTTAAAAATGTATTAAATAAAATGCAAATGTATTACAGAAGAACTCAACCGTTTTCGTTCTTTATTTGTGTATTTAAAAGTTAATTGCCAAATTGTAAATTCAAAATGTACCAAGAAATGTACAATAGAATAACTAAAATCGGTTCCAAGATTTTGATTTTGTAACCGAATCGGGAAAGCATTGACCGCCTCGTTTCTGTAATCGATTACACAAGAACTTAACCGCTTTCGCTCTTTATTTGTGATCTTAAACCAATTTAAAAAACAATAAATAGATAACCGCCAAATTTCAAATTCAACATGTACTAAAAAAAAAACCGAAATAAGATCTAAGCTATCGATTTTATGGCTGAACCGGGAAAACATCGATTGCCAAATTTCAAAAAACATCGATACAATCGAGTAAACATCGATGTTTGTTCCATCTCTTTAACACATGTTTTTCCGGTTTTGCTTGTAAATAAAATAAGTGATAATGTTGGCGCCAATTAAACATTTATTGGGAAACTATCGCATTGTTTTGGCCAGCGGCTCTCCCAGGAGACAGGAACTGGTCAAAATGCTGGTGAGTTGTCTTAAATATAGAAATCTTTTGAATGCCCCAATCAATATCTCATTTTTAGGGTCTCAATGCGGAGCTGTGTCCCTCAACATTTGAGGAGAATTTAAACCTGGAGGATTTCAAGGAGTTCTCGGATTACATTGAGGCCACTGCTCTGGGAAAAGCGGAGGAAGTGTTCTCCAGACTGAGTTCCGCGGGCGATTCCAAGGACCTAATTGTCATAGCTGCGGATACGATGGTGACCTTGGGAAAGGAGATCTACGGAAAACCGAAGGATCCTTCCGATGCCATTCGCATGCTGACCAAGTAATTACTATTTATGTTATTGCCTATATTCTGCAGAAAAATTAAATCCTTGGATTTTACTTACTTTTAAATCTCTGGTTTGGCCTTAAATACTACAAAATAATCTTTACATGTCTAAGCATTATAACTATAGAATTAGACTTATCCTCTCAATTTTTCCCTTAAATGCAGCTATAATTAAATTTAATTTTAAGTTTTATTTTGCAATCTTCTTTATACATACTTTTGGCCAAATTAAATAACATTTATTTCCTATTTAATATATTTTACCTAGAGAGGTGTTTATAACTTGTACCGCTAGAAAGTCTCTCATAATAAATTATAATAATATTAATAACGTAAAGCTGATACAAGAAAATGTTGGCCAAATAGACAGACTGACTAATGTTTTTTAGCTGTTATACTAAAAAACAAAAACCAATTAATTTGATTGGTTTGAAACCCCAAAATGTTTTTGTTACTGTTAAAAAATATTTTAAGGTTTTGATACTGGACAAAACATTTTAGGGTTTCAAACAAATCAAACTGCTAACTGGAAATAATATGTTAAACATTGAAATATGAATGAATTATAAGATCTCATCATAGATGTTTTTTTTCCTTTAGCTTGTCCGGAACCTCGAATCGAGTATTTAGTGGCGTTATTTTAAAGCATGCCGGCGGAGTTCGCAAATTTACGGACACGGCGGACGTATACTTTGGTGATCTGCTGCCAGAACAAATTCAAAGCTATGTGGATTCCGGAGATCCCCTGTAAGCTGCTCTATTACTAAATAATTTCAGAGATTAATTAAAATTTATTCAATGCAGAGACAAAGCTGGCGCTTATGGTGTTCAAGGACCTGGTGGAGCTCTTATCCATCGGATCGATGGAGATTTTTACTGTGTGATGGGCCTGCCGTTGCATCGCCTCTGCTGCGAATTAAACAAGCTGTTTCTAGAGGATCTCTCCTCGTAAACTTAATGTCAACGTCGCGCCCATCAAAACCAAACTATCTGCAGTTTATGCGGCTACAAGCGTCAGAGGCTACACACGCTCTGGTGATTTTAATCTTGGCTGATAAGCGGCTATATCTCTCCGACGCCGTGAGCTTATTTTTTTTTTTTTTTGGCCCAAGTCAATTAAAAATAAAAATCAAATAAAAGTGAGCAGAAAAATCCAATTGCTTTCGGGAGAGCAAGGCACAGTGGTTTCGGAGGTGTGCCATAACAACATGGAATTTTGTAGTTGATGTAATGTTTGTAATTTTTTGACTTTTGTGGCAGTTAAGCTTGTTAAATTTTGTAATCAAAATTAGTAGAAAAAAAATTAAAACCAATCACCAAAAAAATCGTTATTTGAGATTTAATTTAAAACAATTATTTTTATTTCCATTGTCCACTAAGTTGTTAAGAATTGGACAAATTGGAAATAGAAACTTAATGTACTCTTACCTTAACCCTGAACATGTGAATATCTCAATTTAAATCTATTAGCATCAATCGGGTTTTGTATTTTTCAACTGTAGTAACATCCCTTTTAGATGTCACATTTTTCAGCTTTAAGCACTTTAAATACCTAAAACCACTGTTCCTGCAGAGAGAATCTCATTTTTGACTTGCACTAATCATTTACAGTTCATATAAAAAACGGAGCAACATATTATTTTTTGAAAGATAACACGATTACATAAAACAGCGAAGAGCACAATATAGAATTGTTTTCGTGAGCTTGGGCTGGGCTACAGAGCACGCAGTCCCAGTAGTGATCCAACTGTTACGCCAAGCGGATCCATCATGTCCCAGATCCCCAAGAGCAGCTACAAATTGTGGGGCGGTCGCTTCAGCGAGAAGCCACACGAAGCGCTCCAGTCGCTGAACAATAGTCTGCCCTACGATTCCCGCCTGTATGCGGATGATCTGGATGCCAGCAAGGCGTATGCCGAGGCGCTCCTCAGAGCCGGTCACCTCAACGAAGCCGAGGCGGATAAGCTGGTGAAGAATCTGGAGCTGTTGCGATTCGACTGGATCGAGGGATCCGTGAAGTTCCTGCCTGGCGACGAGGATGTGCACACGGTCAACGAGCGGCTGCTGGTGGAGATTACCGGCGAGCTGGGCCAACGGCTTCACACGGGAAGGAGCCGGAATGACCAGGTGGTGACCGACATGAAGCTTTGGCTGCGCAAGGCCATCCGGGAGACCTTGGGCCGACTGAGTCGCGTGATCGAAACAGCCACCCGGCAGGCGGAACTCCACCTGGGTGTCCTCATGCCGGGATACACGCACCTGCAGCGGGCCCAGGTCGTCCAGTTCTCCCACTGGCTGCTCTCCCACGCCTTCGCTTTGCGCGAGGATGGCCAGCGGCTAATGGAGCTCCGCGATCGGGCCAATGTCCTGCCTTTGGGTAGTGGCGACCTCGCGGGAAATCCCCTCGGCATCGATCGCGTATGGCTGGCCGAAAGGCTAGGATTCTCGGGCGTCACGGCCAACAGCATGCACGCCGTGGGAGATCGCGATTTTGTGGGTGAGCCATCGAGTCATTTCAAAGTCGTTGATACTGAAATTTAAGTTCGATTGATTTCTTATCTGCGTTCTGCTCAACAATAGATTATTCAGGGGAGACGCTGATAGGGAGGTCTAGTACCGCGTAATCTACAAAAAGAAGTATAATTTTGTATTTATTTTGGTCATATGTTTTTTACACAGTTAAGAAAACCTTTTGTAGTTTTTGATATACCATGTAAATTAATAATTTTAAAGACTTTCAATAAGAATATCGAACAAAATTTGCATAATTTCTGATTATAAATCGAAGTTGGGATTTTATTGGTTATTTAAACTTGTAATAATGTCTAATTTTTTTCTTTTGTTCTGGATATGAGGAAAATAATTTAAAAAGTCTAAAAAAGAGCGATATTAAATTGTAATGTATTATTCAAGGCTTTAAAGTGGAAAATCACGGGTCATGTTTGATTTGTATTAACATGTTCATATCTTTTTCTTTACAAAATGAATACAAAAATATCTATTTTTTGCTTTCAGTTGACTTCATCTACTGCTGCTCCTTGGTGAGTCTGCATCTGTCCCGTCTGGCAGAGGATCTGATCATCTACAGCACGAAGGAGTTCGACTTCATCCGACTGGCCGATGGCTTTTCCAGCGGCAGCAGCCTTATGCCCCAGAAACGGAACCCGGACAGCTTGGAGCTGATCCGCGGCATGGCCGGAGTGATCACCTCCAATCTGACGGGCATCATGATGACCATCAAGGGAACACCGTCCACCTACAACAAGGACCTGCAGTTCGACAAGGAGTACTGCTTCCAGTCCTTCGACAAGCTGACCCAGGTGCTGGAAGTGACCGATGGCGTCCTGCAGACAATGCAGGTGAAACAGGAGTCAATGGAGGCGGCTCTCAGCACGGACATGTTGGCCACTGACTGGGTAAGATGTTTTGACTAAATACATAATTATAATTCATAATATAAGAAAACAAAAAACCATTTTAACGAAGTAAAAAGGTCGTGACGATCGCAGTTTCAACCTACCTAATTTCTGATTTCAAATTTTGTGAAAATCTATGAAGGACAAGTTTAATGAGTTTATAGTAATATTCATAGAATTTGCATTTAATGTTTACCTTCCAATCTACATATTATCCAGAATTGTAAAGGTTTAGGGTTAAGTTAAAATGCTTATTACCAAAGTTGCCGTTTTCAAATCCAATAGAATTAAGTGAAAACAAATTGTGCAATCGAAACTTTGAAGTCCTAAACTACGAATGATTTGCCTATTAAAGCTTTTGGATTTTTATTCATTTTAAGGTCGGAATAAATATCAGTTGTAATCTGAGTTTATAATAATAAATTCGTTCGGAAATCTAAGAACGATTTGCCTTTAAACTATCATTAAATCGCTCCCCTTTTTCTCATTTTGATGGTTATTTAAAAGTAAGTTTTATATACATTTTAGAACTTACCATAAATATGACAAAACGGGCCTGAGATTGATAAAAAACTTTAGATAATAGGTTATATTTTTAAGAAGTAGAGAATAAAAGGGGATTAATTCCCAAAAATAATTGAACATGAAATAGGAAAATATAATAAGAAACTTTCTCATACACTCTCTTCTTTTTAGGCCTACTATCTGGTGAAGAAGGGGATTCCCTTCCGCCAGGCGCACCACATTATCGGACGTGTGGTTTCGGAGGCCGAAAACAGAGGCGTGGAGATCACCGATTTGCCTCTGGGTGAGCTGCAGTCCTTCAGTCCTGTCTTCGGATCGGACATCGTCGGTGTGGCGGATTACGCCAACAATGTGCAGCAGTACAATGCGATCGGTGGAACCGCCAGTAGCAGCATTGTGGAGCAGCTGCGATTGCTCAAGAACTACGCCAAGGATTTACGCAAACAGTCATAGGACCTCAACTTTTATTTTCATTGCATTTTGGTTCACAAATGAAAAAGATTAATTTGCAATTTGTGTTATCTCTTAAATATAGTTTTGATTGATGCGAAATTACTTGATGCTATTATTTCATGCATTATTAATTTATTCATTCGGCATTAATAGATGTCCAACATGTGGAAAAGGCGTCGTTGGAGATCCAAGTTGAACTCGTTAAAAGCCTGAAAGTATTTTCTCAGACCAAATAGATGTCGTTTTTCATATGATTGGTGGCATCCAGGTCAATGAGGTAGCTCCCGCTGGTTAAAGACTGCTTCCAGTCTGTATGATTATTCATTCCGCAGCACTTAAACTAAAAGTGAATACTTTTTAAATATTTATGTTTCCGAATAAAATATGTTTTTGTTATTTAAACTTGTTTATCTGTGACATAGTGTTTGAACTTATATTTCATTTTTTCATCATCAAAAATATATAATGCATAAATAAATTTAATTAAGCAATGGTTTTTGGACAATACAAAAATTTAACCATTTCGTATAAAATACGAATATACAGCATAACTAAACATAAAAGCGTGATCAAATAAACTTAAATTCTGCATGCAAACATATGACTATTATGCGTTGAACCACTCCACTGACATACTTTCTGGTCTTCTACTTACCATGTTTATTAGAACCACAATCTCCTTAATGATTCCATTGGGTCCCAAAGCGGCATTTACAACGATAAAATATCCAATGACGATGAGAAACGCAGGTGTTGAAATTTGTATATCGAAGATCAGGGGTTTATTGTTGCGGAAACTTGTACAGAGAAATATTCCAAACCATATGAAAAAGCCTCCAATCAGCTGCGGAGAATGATAGACATGATAATAACTTTATTAGGATTTTGGGTACAAATTTAATGTTCTGCCAAAAGCCAGACAAAATTGTACTACAGAAAACATGTGCACTTATTTTAATAAGAAATATAAACATTGCCTGCTGCTTCAAAATATGCTTGGTTCTCCAGATGGTTCATATGTTTATGTTCAAAATTGGAATTATATAGAAACAAAGTAAATGGCTGTTTATTAATTCTTTCAGTGCGTTTATGTATAAATATATTTGTAAGAATTGACTCACCAGATTTATGATTAAGATCGTGTATTTTATGCAATTTATTAACAATTCTTGATTCGCCATTGGTTTTTATTTCACAGCTGCAATATGCATACAAAATGGTTATTAAAATTACGATTCCGATAAACACCTTCCAAATTACTTTTTGCAAAATGATAAAAATCAATATAAATACATTTTCCCTTTTTAATTGATATGCTTCTTAGTTTGTAAATGCTTTTACTTAGCTTAAAACTAATAATAACAATAAAGGAAGCATTCTTCGGCAAGCCGAAGTCTATATACCCTTGCAGTTATAACAAAACGACTACGTCTCAATTTGTATGCCTATATTACTCAAAACAAGAAAGGAAAGCTAACTTCGGGCGGAGCCGAAGTTGATATACCCTTGCAGAATACTCTGTAAATTATATTCTCCAAAATTATTCATATGATGCATTCTTAATACTCATAAAAAATCCTAACTTCCTAACTTTAAAAACACCAAAGTTATGACATTTCCAATCGTTCAGTTATATGGCAGCTATAGGATATAGTCGGCCGATCCTTATGAAATTCGGCATGTCGGATTGATTAGCCAAATATAAAACCCATAGAAAATCCCAACATTCTAACTTTACAAACACCACAGTAATGGCATTTCCGATCAATCAGTTATATGGCAGCTATAGGATATAGTCGGCCGATCCTTATGAAATTCGGCATGTCGGATTGATTAGCCAAATATAAAACCCTTAGAAAATCCCAACATTCTAACTTTACAAACACCAAAGATATGGCATTTCCGATCAATCAGTTATATGGCAGCTATAGGATATAGTCGGCCGATCCCGGCCGTTCCGACATATAGACTGCGTGCAAAGGAAAGAAGGGTATGTGCAAAGTTTCAATTCGATAGCTTTAAAACTGAGAGACTAGTTTGCGTAGAAACAGACAGACGGACAGACAGACGGACAGACGGACATGGCTATATCAACTCAGGAGGTGATCCTGATCAAGAATATATATACTTTATAGGGTCGGAGATGTCTCCTTCACTGCGTTGCACACTTTTGACCAAAATTATAATACCCTCTGCAAGGGTATAACAATGAAACTATGTCGACTTTGCGCTGCATTATCGGCTTACATTTTGTAAAGTTATGTCCAACTTTGAGTCACTCTTTTTACAAGACATGAAAAACTGGAAATAACTAACATGAAAATTGGTCAAAAATTTGATCAACGTTAAATTGAAAATTTTGAATGCAGATTTTTAGAGAATCGAATCACAAGTCTTTAGAGGCATGCCACTTTGGAAGCGGATCAAATTTGGTAAAGTTATGGACTCTAGAAGTCCAACTTTGAGTCACTCTTTTTACAAGACTTGAAAAACTGGAAATAACTAACATGAAAATGTGTCAAAAATTTGATCACCGTTAAATTGAAAACTTTGAATGCAGTTTTTTAGAGAATCGAATCACAAGTCTTTAGAGGCATGCCACTTTGGAATCGGATTAAATTTGGTAAAGTTATGGACTCTAGAAGTCCAACTTTGAGTCACTCTTTTTACAAGACATGAAAAACTGGAAATAACTAACATGAAAATGGGTCAAAAATTTGATCAACGTTAAATTGAAAATTTTGAATGCAGATTTTTAGAGAATCGAATCACAAGTCTTTAGAGGCATGCCACTTTGGAATCGGATTAAATTTGGTAAAGTTATGGACTCTAGAAGTCCAACTGTAAGTCACTGTTTTACAAGACATCGGGAAATTAATTAAAATGGGTCAAAAATTTGATCAACGCTAAATTGAGGTATGCCACTTTGGAATCGGCTTAAGTTTGGTAAAGTTATGGACTCTCGAAGGCCAATTTCGAGTCACTCTTTTACAAGACATCGTTTCTATCGCAGCTATATGACGGACTAACGGACGGACGCACAGACGGATGGCAGTCCTTATTTAGTTTTTCGAACTCACACTTGGGAAGTGAACTTTAAGACTTGCTAGTCTCAAGTGAACTGAAATGGTAAACAAAATCGACGAGCTTTCGCGTTCCAGATCTAAGTTTTGAAGCCGATAAAAAAACATGCTTTATAAAAAATGTTATACAATTCTTAGCTGATAAGCCTTTTTATTAAAAACTCCGAATTCTTATTTTTATACCCAATTTTTATAATTTCAGTCAAAAGTTGCAACGCAGTGAAGGAGACATTTCTCACCCTATAAAAAATTGCTTAGAATTGTGTAGATATTAACAAAAGTTACTTTTAGCTCAAAATTTATGTCTTAATTAAATAAATGGAACCCCCTTTCCAATTAATTCACCCAGTACTTCAGCAGGTAGTCCTAGGACCACCGCGTTTATTTCGTCTGACTATGTGGTTAGTTAACAAATTAAAAAGTTACATTTACAAAGGGATCTCTTTGGGTATACGGTATAAATATGGCTTCCATCGATAGCTCCGCCTAGTTGACACTGGGGCTCTGGGGCGTGTAGGTGTAGGGTTCGTGGGTGCCCTGGTCGCCGTTCTCCAGTTGCTGGTAGCCGGTGACCGCCGAGTTCTGGGGCGGGGCCATCTTTCCGCCCGAGATGAGGACGCCGAGGCTCTGCTGCAGCTGCCAGCGGCGGGCCTCGCGGAGCGACTTGTTCCGGCGGAGCGTCTTGGCCAGCATGAAGGCGCAGAGGACGCCCAGCAGCTGGACGAAGGCCACCGTGGTGGCTCCGGTGGCAATCAGCATCGCGCTCTGCGACACGATGAAGTTCATCTTGCGGAAGCAGCCGTAGTCGAAGGTCACCTCGCAGGTTACCTGGTAGGTCTCGTCGAAGTCCTGGCCCAGTTTGCCGCAGCAGGAATTGGGCACCACCACGTCGTCGGAGCCGAGTGTCAAGTTCTTGTTGGGCCCGTAGTTGTCCTTCCAGTCCTCCGGCTGGTCAACTCCGCAGCACTGGAGCTGTAAGCATGCAAATCAAATAGTATTTCTTATCTCATTGAAAACCGTTTTTAATTGGAAACAACATTTGATGTTATCCCATGATGACCTTAATCTGATAATTTGACTATTTTCAAAAATTCATTTTAAGCTAAATATCTAAACTTTAAAAAAGTTTTAAATATTTTTCTGCGTGCAAGCATTATATGTACATATATGCTTAAATAAATATCATTCGAGTTAAAATTGATCTAAAATTCAAAATGTAACATTCGAAAGATTTCTAAAAAAAACTTTAACTTTAAGTTTTCGTAAATTAAATCAGATTTGGAAAAGGTATTTATGAAAAAATATATACTTTTAAAAATATTTATAAAATTGATTTTAAATAAATATTTGATTTTATGGATTAAACCTACCTCAGATTGCATAAGGTCCACTCCAGCTTGCACATATGGATCGCTGTCGTACTGCTCCAGGGCTTGGTGCATCGTACGCACCAGCATGCCCCTCACCTGCGATTGCATCACGAAGGCGGCGATGGCGGCAGAAACCTCCAGGATGAACACCAGGAACAGGCACACTCCGTACTAAAAAATAAAAGATTATTATTTCATTTTTGGACAGAAAAAGTATTAAAATATATTATGTATTCTTCAGATACTCTGGAGTCTATCCGTATCTATAAACAAAAGGCAGGAGTTAAAAGCAAAAAATACTGATACTAAAATAATTTAGTAGCTTCTTTCCATATTAAGGTGTCGATTATAGCGGATTCTTTCATTAGAAAATGTCTCTAGTTGACAAATTTTGAAAATACGCATGAAGCACATCCATAAACACATATAACAAACAATGTAAACTTGTATTGGGTTGTAATTGAATGGTAGTGAAATATAGATTAAATTTTTTTTGATAAAGTCCATTATTTCTTATCTATGATCTATCTGTCAACTTAATTTAATGTATTTATCTTACCAGATTAATGACCATCACGCTCTCCTTGACGGCGCCATATGCTCCCAGAGTGGCCACTGCGATCAGAATGAATCCAATGGCGATGAGGAGTGCCGGAGGGGACGCGAAGTGGCCATCGATGAACAGGCTCAAGTCGCCGAAGATCGTCTGGATCGTAGTTCCCACCATTATGAGCAGGATGGCGGTCAGCTGCGGGGAAAGGGGATCAGGGTTAGATATCGTTGTGAATCGCATGTCAAATCTCATTTAGAGCGAGATTTTCGGTGTGACTTTGTGACCACATGAAGCGCAGTAGTTTTGTGATGAGTTGGCGGGTTAGTTCATGCAGCTGAGCATTTGATCTATTATTAAAAACCCAATTCGGATTATCTAACAACGCCAAACAGTTGTGGTTTTCAAATTCTGTCCATAGATTAAAAAGCTTAAATATTCTTTTTATACAATAAAGCTATAAAAGCTATAGTAGCAAATAAATATTTTTATAAATTTATATAAAATTAATCTAGTTAAAGAGTACTTAAATACCCATTAACCATTACTTTGAGTTCTACTCTGAAATCTATTTTTTTCTGTTTGTTGGTTTCGAATGTTCAATATTGAAAGCCTGTTTAATTTAACTGTTCATAAGTGTATATTTTGTTGTTTTAAAACAAGTTTGTAAATATTTGAAAATGTTGATCAACAACGTTAAGTTTACGAGAATTTACTTTCTGGTTCCGGAAATACATATGCAGTGGTGTACTGTGTTACCAATACTGTGCAATTTATTTTGGTTTTGTTATCTTATCAATATGAGTAATGGTTAAACAGTTTAAAGACAACTGAGATATTGTACGAATTATGAAGTATTTGCTTACAAGTATAATTAAAGCAGTTGGCTAAGACTTTCAAAATAAAGAGTCATAAAAACTTGTTCCAGACAAAAAATTGTTTGTCAAATTCTTAGAGCCCTTTTTGAAAGAATGATCAAAAAAGGTATCAAAATCTTTATTAGATTAAGAATTGTCTTCAAAAAAAAGGTATTACTTAAAACTATTCAGTCTTTATTATTAACAATAAATGCAATAAGTATATCAACAGCTTGAGATCTTTTTGACGCTTGTTTTTAAAAGCAACCAGTCGAATAAGAGAACATTTTCGCTTGTTTCTGACCCGTTTCTCTTTCTCTCAGATTTCCCTAGTTCCTCTCATTTATTTTCCTACTTACGTAGGTTGAAAGTGATTCACAAAAAATAAAAAACTATACCAACACAAACGATTTGCTCAACGGTTGATAAGAATAGGTGTTCTATATGATAAAAAAAATAGAACGCGCAGAAAAATGGAAGTGAATCAAGATGGCGGCAATGTGATTCATGGATCGAATTAATAAAGGATTAGGCTGCAGGATCGACTCACCGCAAACATAAAGCTCACTATGATGAGCATGTATTTGGCGCACTTCATGCCCGAATTCAACTGCAAGTCCCGATTCGCCATTATGCTAATCGAATGCTCGCTCGGATGTCAGATGCAATTTGTAAAAGTGTTAATAACAGGCCGATTCCGATATATATAGTATAGTATATCGCTCGCTTTAATGTGTCGCCCACCGAGTCGGCAGTGAACGTACTTTAACTTTTGCTAGTCACACGTGAACTGAGTGGCAAAACGGTAAACGCAATCGACGAACTCAACTGTGAGTCGTTCGCTCCCTCTCCCACGCTCTGGCAGGTGCCGCCTGGCCTTGCCACCCCTCACTCCCACTCGCTCATACACTGCGCGAAAACGGTCGTGTATATTTACTTTGTACTCTCTTATTTGTTATTTAAACCTTTTCAAGAAAGTCATCTTGATTGAATCTTTTGTTTTATGTATTCTTTAATTTTACGCCTAACACTCAAAAATGATGTTGGTAACGGTTTAATATCCAGTTGGGTATGAGGTCTCATTATTTGTTTTGTAATTACATTCTCAATTACCTAAGGGTCAAATGAATAAAATATATTTTAATTTTCAATTTTTTACGACCTACATTGTTTTACACTTTAATGGTATATTTAAAATGCTCTTCGTGCTTAAAAAAAAACAAAAAAATCAAATTTAAATATATTTTTATAAAGTTCTTTAATTTGTTCAGTGTATCTGTAACTTCCAGTCTCAGCCTTCCAAGCGACGCTTATCAGGCAGTAAATGTTGATAGTCTTCCAGTTAGACACATCGTAGATAAGATAATGATTTTATTTTTTCCCTTAGACGAGTTTTCGCAATATTAGGAAAATCTGCAATCGAATATTGGAGCGAATCGATAGAACATTAAGTGTCCTTCTAATAAAGTTAAGCTAACTACAATTAACTGCAGTACCTATCTACTTATATGTCTTCACTCCCCCAACTTTTACATATACTCTGCTGGTCAAGTTCACATGTCAATGCCATACGCCTCAATCGAGTATATTATCGATTTAAGTTCAGTTTTAAGTGAGTCAACTTTTATGGTTTATCGATTTTTTAATCGCACTGCACTTTCGAATAGCTTAAATTATTCACAGGCAAACACAGGTGTTCCCGTTTATAAGTGTGTTAGCTGTTTGTCTGACTTGGGTGGAAATATTAGTTTAATTTTTTTGACTAGGTTTTTTTTCTTTTGTGGGGTAAACAGATCGTCATAATATACCGACTATTATTCTCAGTAATTTTATTAATTCATATTAATGTTCTCTTAAAATCGTGAAAGAGAATACGGATTGGTTTATTTTAACGTGTTGTTAGTACTTGAAATAAAAACACTTTCTTGAAATGGGTTTAAAACATATCAATCAAATTTGATTATTCATCTAATAAAAGGTGAATAAGTTTTGTTAAAGATCATCCTTAAATTTATTTTACCATTTATGTTACAATAAAAACCCTATTTTCACTAATGAATGAGGTACTTGAAAATATAACATTTATTTTTATTATAAGTTTAAGGCATTGTTCAATATGCCAGTTAAAATAAATAATCTGATCGAAGGCAGCAGTACGTAAGAGTGATAAACTTTAAAGCCAATAGCTTTAATAGTTTTTTTCCAACAAATTTTATAAAATGTATGTCATTCTTATCTGGACTCAATATAATAAATTACTAGACGGAAATTCTTACAAAAACTCACTCATTCTTAAATTTATTACTCAATTTTTTCTAATTATAAGAACGCAATATTTTTTTTATCAATTGACCGTATTTAGGTAATATGTGAGTGGGCGTATTTAAGTGATAATGGAACTCGGAGCAACGCATTTAAAACTTTATAGTGCCCAATATAGTACCATTTATAACAGAACGATAAGATTGCATTTCTAAAATCCGACCAATATCGACCCAGTAAGTCAAATAGATTAAGAAATAAAAGAAACAAAGCACGTATAAAATACATATTAGTTTAAACCCTTTAAAGTAGAAAACTTTGTTTATAAGTGTGTATCTTTAATCATTTAAGCAGAAGAAAAAGTCAATATTAAACTAAAAACATCCATAGAATTTAGCAATGTCTTAAAAATAAACAGCGGGATTTGGCTCCTCTAGCACCTTTTCCGAAACTCACAGAATCGAGTTTTTCTGGACTTAGATAAAGCCAGTAATGCCGTTACGGATCTTGATCTCACGTGCAATATAACAGGCAAAGATTACACCGAAGAACTGGAAAGAAAAGGAGGAAACATACAATTAGTTTGATATTAGACTAGGTTGGTTACAATTCAAGGGTTATGGCATATAATCTCTGTTGTTGATTGTGATTAGAAAATATAATATGGAATAATAAGGGTAGTCCTTGTCTAAATTTAAAAAAATAAATAAAAAAAGATTAAGAAGAATTTTAAAGTATTTTGTTAAGATATTAATTAAATGTACCTAATTGATTTTAGTTTTTAAAATTTGCGGAGAAATATATCTGTGATGTAAAATATTGGCAAAGTAAAGTCTTTCAAATATAAAAAAATAATTTTCTGTAGCAGTTGTTCTGTAACATATTGGCAAAATAAAGTCTATCAAATATAGAAAATAAATTCTATGTAGCAGTCGGTCTAGGTCTAATACCTAGACCGACAGAGAGGAACCTTGAGGCTTCTCCAAGGACCAGTTCAACTCACCTGCAGGATGGCAATGACCACGCCCGCCGCCCCCAAGCTGACCGCGTGGGCGGCAATGTATTGGGAGAAGCCGTCGAGGCATCCGTTCTCGTTGCGGTCTTCCACGCTGCTGGTGCTAGCGGTGCAGTTGAAGGTGCCCGCCGCACCCACCGGAATGCTGCAGCACGAGATGGGCAGCGAGCCGTTGGGATAGACCGTATTCCAGTCCGCGAAGCCGTTCACTCCGCAGCAGTGGAAGTCCCGCTGCACATCGTCCCAGAGGCGAGTGGTCGGGTTCCGATTAAAGGTATTATACTCCTTCAGCGAGTTGGTCAGCGATGTTTCGATCAGCTTGGAGGCATCGTTGCGCAGCACATAGCCACTGATTCCGGCAGCCAGCTCCAGGATGAAGATGATGGCCAGCATGATCGAGAAGCTGAGCACCAGGCAGTAGTTCTCCTTCAGGGCACCCCAGCAGCCGAAGAACGAGATCAGGATGATGAACGATCCGATCACGATCAGGAACGTGGGGATCGAGAAGAACTTGCCGGCCAGGAAGAGCTCATAGCCCGTGTAGACGGCTCCAACGCCAGCTCCCACGGCAATCAGAATAATGCCGGTGATCTGGTTGGATGAGTATAACAATCGATATCAATAACTGATAATTCTCATAGCCTACAAGCAACTCTTTAATTGATCTTTGGTTTGGTAATTAATTATATTTAGCTTTTATTATATTTACAAAGCTTTAGTTCGAATGCTTAACTATTTCCAGGAATCTCTTTCATTACTGATCCATTAAAATTTATAAACTTAATTCGTATTTTATGTAGACAGTTGATAGCAAAAAAGATAAGATAGTGCTTTCAGGTTTTACGGACATTGTCTTGACGTTCTTTGAATGGAATGCAGGAATTTAAAGGGGTTATAGTAAGGTCTATAAGAATTATGTTATTTGGTATCATTACAAATACCAAAAGAGTTTTACAAGTCAAGGGACATAATAAGTTTAAAATAATTTTCAAAAATCACATACCCAAATGTATTAGCTTACTTAAATTACCATGAAACTGTTTATGATAGTGTAAGGCATCTATTTAATTATATGAAATTGATCGAGGTGATTCCCCATTGCAAAATGGACATCAATCGTTGGCCAATCTAATCTTCAGTTTTTTTTTATCAGTGGGCTGCTACTAGTGACTCATCCAAGCAAAACTATGTTATTTACTTACCAAAAAGATCAAATTAAATCCAAAGAGCGTGTATTTCACCGCATTGGCGCTGCCGGTTAAAAGCGACATCTTGTTTATTTTAGTTTAAGCTCTGAAAAATCAGTGGTATTAAAGGTTATTATAAAATATAAAAGTCTAAAGAACCAGAAGAGGTTGACTAACTTCTTGGACAAGTAGAAAATTATACACAACCGTTCCGTATCGATTTCGAAAGTCAAATAAAGTGTGCTGCAGTGCAAACTAAGACACAAAGGGTGGTTTCACTTCTAATCAGTAAAAAACTATATATATATTTACTTATCAGTAAATGATATGGCAAATTGCTTTTGTTTAAGCCAAATGTGGTCAACTACCTGCTGATGTTTTGTATGTGCTGGTGTTGCCTAGACCTCCATTTCAGACAAGATAAACCATAATGCTAACCGATAAGATACGATAGAATAGGATAGAATAAGTTTGACGTTTATTGTATAGCTTAAACAAAATACAAATGAAACTGAAATTTGTATTTTTAAAATTAATATTTACATTCCAATTTGTTTCTGAATATTTCTTAACTGCATTTTAAGTATTAATCTTTAATCTTTAATCTTTAACAAAGACTTTCTAAATTTCTATTAAAATTTTCAAATTTATTCTATAAATCCCCATTCTTTTTTGTAGAATTTTGATGTGACTTCTTCGCTGTAATACTTATAAAATTATTATAAACTTGTAAAACATTTGTTTGCAATTCAGAATTGACTATCACAAATTAAATACAGACTTGATCGACTGAAAACAGAAATGTTGATAAATTTAGAGGTCTTGAACTTTGTGCCTAATATTCTTGTGACTCATTTTGTTAACAAAAGAACACTAGACAGTAATCAATACAGGTGCTAACACAACTCAACTTGATCGAAGACACAAATACATTTGCTTTCGTTATTTTTTGGTCTGATAATGCAGATAGATAGAAAAACCAAATGCTATGGGTTTCTTTGCCTATCAGATCGATGACTCATTTATGTATCACACCAGGTGTCCCAAATCGCATCACACGTTCAAAGACATAGTTATGTGGAGTATTGAAGTATATTCCCCAAAATGCTACTCTCGTTGCTTTATTTATGTAAGCATTTTTCTTATCAGTAGCCCCTTCGAAACATGTTGCACTGTAACTTTATTTTTCTGTTTATCAGTTTTCTTTCATTTTACTCACGGCACAGAATTTGTGGACACTTTTAGTTGGACGTGACGGCAGTTGGACAACAACTGAGAGCCGTTTCAATTTACCGGAACGCTCACAGAGGATTATTATTACGAGCACCCATGAGCTTTATTACCTATCACGGCGTGGGTCTGTGTGAGTTTAGTGATAAAAAGTAAAATATATAATGAAATACTTGGCTGAAAAGCTGCGAAAAAGCTTTTCTCTGAGTTAGCATGGGTCTGCGAAAAGAGAACTTTTCCATTATTTTCACTGGTTGCATGAGCGATATTTTTCATTTTATCACAATATCAAGCTACGGTATTTTGTTTACATAAATTGTTTATCTAACTTTTGTATTTATTCACTTTGAATCCCAAACGTAGAGTTATAACATCATAGTTGTTAGGGGCGTATAAGCAATGTTTACCGCTTTACCATATTTCTTTTCTGTTTGTCTTGAAAACTATAAATAACATAAGCAAATTATTTTTACTTAAATTATGGTTATTTTGAAAATTTTAAAAGAGAGCTCACGTGCCATTTAATCACCACACAAAAATAAAAGTCAATGGTTTAACAAAATTTATAATTGAAAAATGTATTATATTTATTTTCATTCACTTTTGCTTGTCGTATACTAAATGCTATCGAAGAATATATATGAGTATCATTTGTTATTTTATATGTTTAGTTTTTAGTTTCATTTTGGGGAACTGCTGGCATAATTTTAATACTTGAATTTTGAGTGCAATGCCAAAGCGAGTATAAGTGTGTGTGTGTGTGTGGGAGGGGGGAAATGTGTGGAAATGCGAACAGGAACTGGGAACTGGAACATTTTCAAAGTCACATTTTGCAATATCGAATATTAGTCAATCGGTTAGTTTTGGGACCCCATCAACCTCGAATAATTTGTTTGAAATTTTTTCACAATGCCAGAAAATTTCGCAAATTACCAAAATAAAGTCTCATCGAATTGGGTTGGTCGTTCGGGTGTTAGTACGTATTATGTAAATGTAAATATAGTTTATATATAGTTTGTTTTATTTTTAGTAGTTCGTTGCTTCCTCGCCGGAGTTCCCATAACTATTTCCTATCCTTGCCGTGGCGATCGCGTTGATGTCTGCTAGCGGCGATCGACGAAGTGGTCAGGCTGTGCAAATGATGTGGCTGCTGCTCCCGATGACCATGTCCAGATCCTGGATGCTTGCCGCTGCTTGTGTGCTGGTGCTGATGATGGTGGTGTCCATTCAGTGTGCTTTTACCGTGTCTGCGGGGACAGAAAATACCCGATTAGATATACATTTCCTATCTAATTATTACTACATTTTTAATAGTCTTTCTACTGTTTTTTTTTTGTTTTTTTGCTAAGAATAGTATTTCCAAATTGCTACTTCAACTACGTAGATCCAGTTGCTAAGGAGAAATAGAATAGAGCAAGGCTGTTTGATGTTGTGTTTCGGTTTTTGTTTAATTCCAATTTCATTGATGATTTCGGTTGAATTCTTTTTTTCTGGTTTCCAGCAACATGTTCATAGTCAGTTTTTAGAGTTGATATTCTACTGATAGAGCGGAGTGTGCATGAGGTTAGAAATTTACGTGGAGTAAGTTTATTAATAGTAGTCAAACATGCGAGGTCAATCGAATAAATAGAGAATTAGGTTGTTAAAATATTTTCGTAAGTGTATTAGTCGGTTTTATTTTTTGATTAAAATAAAAGTCTCTATTAAATGCTACAATTTGAAAGTTGGGAAATTAAATAAAAAATAGTTATATCCCATGCCAAACCACTTTTCGTACTTCCCCATCAAACCCAACATGCAATACTGGGGGTTAAGAAAGAAAACGAAATTTGGAAAAACGCTTACGCTGTGAAAAGTAAAAACAGAACCCAGACAGGCCCTTTCTTTTTGTGCGTGTGTGCTTTGGCCGAGTTTTTGATTGTGTGCGCTCCGAAATAAATAATAATCAAAATTAACAACGAAAATCTCTCACACTTGAGTATTATTTTTGTGGGGTTTTAGTATTAGTAGGGAACACAGTGGTGGTTTGGGTGTTTTTTTGGGTGTTAGGAGAATGCAGTTCGCTGTTGGCCGGCAGTGGGATCAAACGTATTCGTGCATTTGGGATTATTTGGGTGTGTACATATATTTGTGACGAGATCCTGGCAGCCAAGGGACTATATATTTTTGGTTCTTTTTATTTTTCGCTTTCTCCCGCGCTGACTATGAACATGTGCAGATGCCGAAGGGCTGGTGGGTGGACACGCTGCTGCGCACCTGCCGCATTTTCAGCCGCTTTGGCCAGCCGCCCAGGCGGCCACGCCCTTCCCTGGCCACCGCCCCCGCACCGGCTCCGCCGCCGCCAAAAAGCTGCGCATGCTCATTGCTCAGATTGTTTTGATATGGCCGCAGTTTGTCCGCCTTGACCGGATCTTCACTTGTGGCATATAGCAGATAGTTATCGTAAACATGGCTAACACTCGAGTTCCGCTTGGCGGGTAAATAGGGCAGAAAGGCAAAGCTCGAGCTGGTCGACTGGGTGGCCTTTAAAGAGTGCTTCTTGTGGGCCAGGCTGCGACACCGCAAAGTGGACTGATTCGAATAGCTGGGCGGTATCATCTGCAATTTGGTGCGGTACTCATAGCTGGCGGGCTGATTCACGGGCACTGGGATCAGGGATCTCTTGCGTTTGCTGCGCGGCGGTGGCATTGGAGTTTTGGACACCTCCACATCCACATCCACCTCCACCTCATCGATACTCGCGTAGTCCGCCTCTTTGGCAGGCTCTTCTTCAGTTGGTTCCCCTGTGGCCTCCTCGCTGGTTTGGTTATGGGCTAAATTCGTTACGTATACGTACGTCAGTTCGTTGTGCGTGGTTAGTGCTGTTGTGGTGCTGGCTGATGGTTTATGCGCGGTGCTTTTCGATGATTTCGAACTGGCTGTTGCCGTCGTGCTCGTGGCTGTCGTTGTGGACTTTTTGTGTGCCGTCGTGGAGTCGTGGCTACTGCGACTCGATCTCGTCTTACTTGGGCGACTGCTCTCCCGGGATCCCGACGTCGGGTGCTCACTGTGCCTAGAGCGACTGGAGTGACCTGTACCGGGATATGATGGAGTATTGTCAGTTTCAGATTCAATAAATATTAAATGGTAATTTGGGTCAGGCATTAACACTGCCCCAATAAAACAAAAAATGTAAGATATTTAAAATTTTTTCCTTTTTTTGTTTAGTAAGCCAATTACAATTTATGGATTAACAAACTTAAAAATACTGAACAAGACTATTTAATCTTCGTGCTGTTATTAATTGGGTATGGATTTTACAACTTTAAAGAATAGAAAGATATGTTTTTGTCTACGTCTAGAATTCAATTTTTGGAGTGCTTAAGCTATATTTAAATAATTGTGGGGGTCAATGTGTTAAAGAAAACAATATTATGTATTTTTGTATTAAGTAAAAAAAAAAAATGTATAACTATTTGTAAAAGAACAAAAATATATTTTTAAGTCATTCAATTGAATGCTAGTTTAATTATATTGAAACGATTATAAATGTTTACTGTGTTAGACTTCTCTGTGCGTGTGACAAAGTGCTTTCGATAATTGAATAAATCCTGAAAATGAAACTGTCAGGGACATTAAATGCTATCCTTTGCATTATGGTTATTACTGACAATAGCATATTCCGATTTTATGTGTACCTAAGAAGACAATTCATAGTCCTCCCACTAAGATCGTCAGATCAGAGTGATGTATTTGTTGTGTTCAATGTGTAATTAAGGTGTTAACTGATCTGATCTGATCAACTAAAACTCATCTGGCGAACCTATAACGTTTGCTCAGCCTCTGCGGCTGTGTGGCACCCATAATGAGCAAGCCCAAAACAAGTAGTTCTGCAAGAGACACGATCACATTAACCGGGCTATCCTTTCACTCGATTGGATTCATTGTGAGGAGTTGAAAGGGAGGAAGGTATTTTATAACTTACCCCTGGAACGTGTGAGTTCTTCGCGATGTTTCTCGGTGCCTCGGGAGCGTTCTCGATCCCGTTCCTTCTCCCGATCCCGATGGCTGCTCTGTCGTGGACGACTCTCATCCGCCAGTCGACTGCCGGAGGAGGTCTTGGTCTCACTGGAGTGATCCACCTCCCGACTGTGGCGACTGTGATGTGAGCTTCGCTTGGACTCCAAGGAAGATGATCCCTGTGCAGTGGCACTTGAACTGCTCCTCGGTTTGCTGCTATGCCGGTTGATTCGAACCTCGATGGGCTCATGACGGGATTTCTCTCGCTTGGGGGTCCGCATGCGCAGACGTTCGGCCCGCTGCTTGGTGGCCACCTGATCGTCCGAGGATCCGCCGCCATGGGTCATCGACTCCCGCGAACTGGAGCGGGATCGATCCCGTGGACAGCACTCGATGGAGGACTGCGAAGAGCTGCGAGCCCTCGAGGGAGAAGGAGTCGATTGTCGGGAGTTTCGACGCGCCTCCGAGGCGAACGTTCCACGGGCCACGCCCATCGATTGGGGATATATCTTCACCTTCTCGTCAATGGTCTCCAGCGGCTTGGCACTGCGACGCTGCAGGGAACAGGATCTGCGCCGCTGATCCTTGATGGCTGCCTCATCGGAGAGAGCCTGTCGAGTAAAAGGTGGTTTTACAATTACAACAAACTATTAACTATTAATTCCTCTTCGAATCTTTTTAATCTTATCTTCAATTAGTATTGAATATCAAATTGTATTGCTTAGATATTTAGAAATAAATTTAAATAATATTCTTTAAGAACCCTTAAATCACTTGATTAATAGAAAATTAAACAAAGCTCAATTTAATAAAAATATGTGATCATTGTAAATGGGTTGAAAAAAGATTAAACATAAAATTAAAAACAACTAAAATACAATTTGCATTGTGTTTCTGTTTCATATAATTTGTGAACATGGAAAAGAATTCATTAATATTATGATATTTTATCTTATTAAGTTATTTAAATAAATTTGTCACTAAATATGTATTATAAATCTCTAATATTTGTTATTAATTGTTAAAAAGGACCAATAATTGTCCATTGGTACAAATTCTCTAAGTCCAAGACGTCACTTGACCTCCAGTTAGCTAAACTGTTCACAATAAAAGCCTCAAATGATGGTTATTTTCGGTTCCTGTTTTGAAATCATACTTATTTCGATCCTGTGGAAGGCACTATGTTCTTCCACGATATTTACCTTCAAAGTCTGATCAGCGTTGCGGGTCATTTCGCTCAAGATCTGGGCGTCTCGCTGCAGGTCGCTCTTCCGCTCGTAGCCACCAGGGGATCTGGATCGCTCCGGGGAGTGGGCGGGCGATTTAACCCGGAAGGTGGTGGTCAGCTCGTTGGCGATGTTCTCGTAGCAGTGTTCCTCATCGTCCTCCCCATCCAGATCCATATCATCCAAATCGAAGTCGTTGGTCGGGGCATTCTTCTTCTCCTGAGGACTACTGTGCCTCAGCAGGTCAGGTCGGTCGTTGAGCAGTTGCCACTTGGTGGTGGTCGTGGTGTTGGCCTTGGTGACCTCGTCGCTGTGGCTCACCTTGCTGCGACTTGGCAGTGTTCTTCGGGGATTCGAGCTGGTCAACGTAGAGATCTTCGTCTGCTGCTGCTGCTTCTGCTGCACTCCAAAGTAGGAGAGTTCATGTTCACGCAATTTGCGAGCACCGCGTGCCTCCTTCACAATCTTCAAGGACTCGCTGCCGGATTCATCGGCATTGTCTGTGGCAGCCTGTGACTGCACCTGCGGTTGAATGAACAGGGTCCTCGGCTTGGCCACCGGAATGAGTTGGCCAATTCGCAGGGTGGGGGGCGTGGCCTTGGGCTTCTCGATTCGGGGAGCGTGGAGAGCTATATTCATCACATTCGATTTTGGAAGATCTGAAATAGAGATTACAAATTATAGGTCAATATAAGATGGTAATAAATTATTTTCAGTAACGAAACTTAAACGTAGTATTGGCTAGAATAAAAAACTATTACGTTGTTATGAACTGTATTAAATATTGTAAGTGATGAATACGAGTTTCATTGATTATAAATAAGAAACTTTTTTATTACATTTATCTACTAGTATTTTATGTTCGCGAGCCAAAATTTTTAATTGGTTCTCTGGAAAAATGTAAAACTAATACAATCCAACTTCTATTACTCAAACATCACTTACTTAAAGTTTCTATGAGTCAAACTAGTTTTATTGGCAATAGAAAGTATTCGTATAGGTAAACTCAATTCAATAGCTCGAAGACTTAATAACTTTCAATTATGTTGCTGGATGTTGTTTCATCTAAAAAAGCCTAACAATAGACGTATTTTATAAAAACTGCTATTTATATGCTTACGGATATAAAATTAATGATTTGGGACTTATGCTTAAAACTAAATTATATAAAATAAATTGGAATTTTGATATCAAATTTGAAAAAAAGTGTTATTCTTTTCGATCTGCCTGGTCTGATCCCTAGACTGAACTCCTCTAACTCAACCCTCTATTTCTCTGTGGTGAAGCAGGCTTTACCTGCTCGCTGCAGGATCTGATCTTGAGCCTCGATTTTCCAGATGGTTCGCTTGGCCTTCAGGCGACTCCAGCTGCTGGAGTACTCGCTGCCCTTGAACAGCTCCGCCGGCTGCTGGTCCGGCGAGGAGCTGCCCTGGGTGCCTCCTCCGCTGTCACTGTTGCTGTCCCGGAAGTAGCGCTTCACCTCCTCGTCGGCACTGTCCTCTTGATCCTGCTCGGCGGCATCGTAGAGCCTGCGCAGCTGGGTCAACTGCTGGCTCACCGGGATCTGGGTGTTCCCGAGCAGCTTGAGCCGTGGCGGTGCCAGCGGAGTTCGGGGCAGGGAATCGTAGAGGGCACTCCCAAAGAGATCGCTGCTTGTGATGGAGGTGGTGGACACGGTGGAGGGGCGGCGCGAGGAGGAGGAGTAGGAGCCCTCCTCCTGGTAACTGTGCGATCGCAGCATGGGCGTGGGCACCACGATCGTCGGCTGAACCAGGGCGGACTCAATCGAAGCTATGCTCAGGCGACGCATGGCCTCATCGAATTCACTGGCCGATCGCATGGTCCTCATTATCAGCGAGGTGGACTTCAGGCCCTCGTCCAGGATGCGCTGATGCTGGCGCAGATCCTCCAGCAACAGCTCCTGGGCACTGGGACGTCGGAACTGGCGGTATTTCGAGCTGGATGGATGATGCATGGCGGTGCCTGTGTGGGAAATGTGCGGAAAGTGTCGTTGGTTGGCAATTCATGTTTCTTTCATGGTGTTTTTGTTTTGTTTTTTTTTTAGAGCGTGGTTATCGAGCTGAGCTTAGCGAGTGGTGTTAGATGTAGCATTAGATGTGGTTTAGAGAAGCGGCAGTCAGTGTTCACAACATGCATTAAAAATACAATTCAGAGTACAGAGAGTTCGAGTCAAGTGGAGGAGTCCATGGCTAAAACCCAGATAGACCAGATCTAACAACGTATTTCAGTAGACAAAAGGTACTACAAACTACAGGCATTCCAACTAGCTAATCAAATGTACAACTAAGTATACTTAGGAATAAGTGAAAGTGCAAGTGCCAACCTGGTTCTGTCCACTCCTCCGAGCCCAGGCTCACATTGATCTTGGTCGAATATCCATTGCCAGAGGGCGATGGCTGCTTCTGCTGTTGGCGCTGCTCTACGATGCGAATCCTTTCGGCCACCGACTTGGGACTAATGGGTGAGTCACTGGTGGTTCCTTTTGGTGAAAGAATCAGTAAAGAGAAGGGTTTTTAAAAATACTCCAAAATACTTACCACTATCCCTAGCTGAGGGACTTTCCCGATCCACTTTCATGGTCGGCACACTCCACAGGACATCGGCGCTCTCTATGTTCTCGCCCAGGTGATAGGGCTTCGGCTTGACGGGCTTGTTCTTAAGGATGCCCCGAATGCTGGACAGCTCATCCGTCTCGTTGTCCGTGGTGTCCACACCACTGGTGGAGGTGTAGCTGTTCCGCGAAGTGGACTCCATCAGGCTATAACGTGGTTCATGCACCGGCTTGGCCACAGTAGTCACTGTCACTTGGGAGCTGCTGCTGATACTGCTATTGCTGTTGCTAGAAATCTGAAAGAAAAAAATTTTTAACTATGTTATTAAACTCCCATTGATTTACTTTATAAAAGCTGATATGCTACAAAATAATTAACAGTTTGGTCAGATATTATATTGTCCCGGCAATTTGATTATATAGCTTAGATTTTTATATTACTTCCATAAATATTAAGTTTTTAAAAAGTTTTAATCGACCTATGAAAAATGACATTAAGTTTTTATAAAAAAAAGAAACTCATTGATAAATATATATATCAAATAAATTAAGCCAACGAAAAATTCATAGTTTAAGTTACACTAAATACCAATGGAATATACTTATTTAAGGATTAAAGTTTCTATTAAAATTTGTTTGTCTTCTATGCTATTAAAAAGTTACTGTTATCAAAAAAACGTGCTAGCATTGAATGGATTTGATAAAATGTCTTTACAAGGTAAAACAGAAAAGGCCTTTAATAGTTTTAAGATTGATACAAAAATGGACAAAATTGTATTTAATGTCATAAAATACAGCTATATAAAAGCGATCTGGATAGTCGATGGCCCTAGCAACTAGTGCTATTAGTTGGTCCTAGTTTTGTTAATACTTCTAAACGATTAATTATAAGTATTAAGTATACTCACTGGCTGGGTAACCACCTCCGGCGGATCCATGAGCGTGGCTCGGTAGGCCACCGTGCTGGTGGCTATCGTCTTGCGGCGCTGTGGCTCGTCGCCAAAGTGGGTCACCTCGCTGCTTGGAGTGGTGGTGCTGGTGGTGCTGCTACCACCGCCGGCACTGGCTGACTTAACCAGACTCTGGAGCGGACCGCTGGCGGTGGTGCGGCGGCGTCGGCGAAAGTTTTGCGTGGGCGGCGGCTTGCCGTCGGTCTCCACGATATTGACGCGACCCGATTCGGCGGCAAAGTGCACCTCCGTCTTGCAGAACTCCACTCGCTTCTGGGCGCTGCCCTTGTGGGTCAGGTGGTGAGTGGTGGTGTTGGTGGAGCTGGACACTCCATTGACATGCACCTGCGAGGTCTTGCGGACATCGCGCCACGTTTCCTCCACGGCAATCGAGTGCCGCTTGCTGAGCTCCCCTTCCGTGGGACTGGATGCTGGAATGGGTTTCCGGGAACGGCCAAAATGTACGATGGTCCCCCCACCGCCATTGTTTTGGTGGGCCGCCGCATTCCTCTCGTTCCTCTCGCGCTCCCTTTCCGTGGGCGACCAGTTGCCCAGTTGCTCACCCGATCTGCCCAACCCACTGTCCGTGGAGGCATCCACCCGGAAGATGCTCTTATCCTCCGGCGGCGACATCTTCTCGAAGCCGTACGACTTGCGCCGCAGGTGCCACTCACTGGAACTCGTGTCCTTCTGCCGCTGGCGACTCTCCAGGCTGTGGGTATTGTGCACGGGTCGAAAGGCGGAGTTGGTTGTGGATGCCGGTGGCGTTGGGTCCACCTTCTCCTCGCTGATCTCACGCACCAGCACTGGCTTCTTCTGGTGGTAGGCCAGGAAGTCCTCCTTGTAGAGACTCTCGTCGGAGAGCTTCTTCAGCTTGCCGCGAATCTCTTGGAGGGATTCGGCCGTGAGGAAGGTGTTCCTCTTGGCCACCGTGGGCTTGGCTGCGGAAGGAGTGTTCAATATGGTGTCCAGGGCGGCCAGATCCACGTGATTGTTCCGCATGGCCGTGTGCAGACGACGTCCGTTCTCCAGTTCCGCCCGCAAACGGGCCACGCTCACCGAATTGCCCGGCAGATCCAGGGGACGCGCGGGACGCGGGGCAAGGGATGTGGGACTCTTGTAATGATCCTGCGACTGGAAGGAGCGACGCAGCTTGCTGACCCGGCGCCACTCGCCCACCGGCTGCTCGGCGGGATCCTCTCGCTCCCAGTCGTTGCTGAGATCATCCGTGGATATGGAGCGGGAGCGCTGGAGCAGAGTGGAGGCCACGATCGAGGGCAATGGCGGGGCGTAGACCGACTGGGACACCTGCTGACGACGCTGGTGACGGGCGGTGAGCCTGGGGAGGAGAATCGAATTTCGCAATGAGATGTGTCTGGATTCGGGGCCAATCGGCTAATGGCCAGAAATTTCTGTGCACACTTACCGCAGATCGTCGGCGTCGTCGGCATCGTCATCGTTATAATGCCGGAAACTTTCCAAATCACGACGCTGCGTTGGCGGTGCCACAGCTACGTCAGCACCACCAGCAACACCAGCACCACCCACGCCGCCTGGGAGTTGGCCATATAAGTCAGCCTGCTTGGCCCAAACCGCTGACGATGATGATGTTGACAGTGGCGATAATGATGATGATGATGACTCTGGTCCCACAATTGCATGTAGGCTTATTTTGCCCGCACTTCTGTGGGTGTTGCCGCTCGCCTGTGTTGCAGTTGTTAAGTTCGAATTGTTGCTGCTCTGGCTGGAAATGCTCGAACTGCTTTTCTGTAAATGGCAACAAGCAACAACGAAAGGCGCAAAATTAAAAACAAAATTAAACAAAATCAACCAAATCAACCAAATCAACAAGCACAAAGAAGAGCTCAGTCGGACTGAGCGCATTATATGGCAGTGTGTATATCTCGAGTGCGGGTGTCTTTCGTATGGTTATCGTTATTGATGCCGTTGTTATTGTAATTGTTATGCTATATTGGAGTGGGTGCACTGTTTGACAGGAACTGCTTAAGGAACTGCTGAGCACTTAAGTCGCATATAAAGCGCACACAGCGGCTTGAGTGCTAAATAAGCCACGACTTATGAATTTCCGCATCGGAGGAAAATTAAATCCTTGAATAAATTAATTACTAATAGAGAAATAAAGTGGGGCGAAAGGAGCTTAAGAAATATTCTTTGTCTGCTATAAAGTGATTTAAATCACAGAATAAATTATTAGCTAAGTGATATATTAATTGCGGATTAAGGGGCTTAAGTAAATGTTTTTGTCTGAAATGGAGCTCAAATAAAAATCATTTGATTGACTTTTTCTTTGATTTATCCCTTCTAATAAAAATACTACATTTCTGTTTTATTCTATTGGTTCATATGTTTAAAAAATAATGAATGTAAAAGTTTTCTTTGGCTTACTATTTATTGTTTTTTCCTACTTATATCAAGAATTTAATCTTCATTTTTTTGACGTATTCTACAAATCAATTAATTTGAATAAAATAATCTTCACTACAGTTTCTCTTTCTTTTTTTGGCCTTAGCAATTTGGGAAACAAAACGATATTCCCCGTCGAAATTTTCAAAGAAAGATTGATGGCCAGAACCTTTAGGTGATTGTGGGCGTTGATCTTGTCTCAAGACACTTTCGCCTCACATTTTTGGCTGTCCAATAATTAGACACTTTTTACTGCTCGGCCTAATGAGCGAGTCGCGTTTCGAGAGAGTTGGCGTAGAAATTTCCTTAGTGGTCATGACCCAGATGTCCAGCTGAAGTGCTAAGCAACGCCTAATTGATATGCACTATTATTAAATCTTTCCATTCGATTTCGACTCGATCGATGAGTCAAAGGTTCGTCAGAGCCAGACAGCTTGTGGAAAGTCTAGTGAGAATTAGTGTGATATATGACTTCTGACCAATTGCAGAATATCAGCCAGTCTTTTTTAGTTTTTTTGGTAGCTGTCTGATGTTCTTTAATGACACTTCCATTAATTTATGCCTGATTTTTATGGTTAAGACATCATTATTTAACTAGAAAATCCCCTATAGTTTTTTTATATTCAATACAGAACATTTATGGGTGGATATATATTTATACATTCACATTTTACGTCATTAACAAGAATAGCATTTTTCCTAGAAATTATATAAAATATTTACTGGTAATATTTTCTATTTTTAGCATCAGATAAACTTTTAAAGCTTTTGAAAAGTAATTTCTCGACCCCAGTTCATTACATGTTTTCCATGAATTTCCCAGCGGCTAAGAGCCAACAATTTTCTTCCAAACACGACAATCTGCGACCGTTAACAACTTGCCATTTTCGGTCATTGCCATGTCCATGGTCATGAGATTACTCCTCGAAAAAACACAAATACAAAATCGAGATGGAAGAAAGCAAACATTGGTTCATGCTAATGAGCTAACTAAACAAAGCGAACTACACTGAGTAAATAAGAGGCTTACTCTGAACAAATTTCCAGTCATTCAAAACTGATATTGCTCACTCTGAATTTTCATTATTTCTGATATTGCAATAATTTAGTACGCAATAATATTTGACTTTAGTTTTGTTGTTACATTGACACATTTTCAAAGCTCAAAATGTGGTATCAAAATCAATTATGAAATTTATTTGGGAATTTAAATATACAAAAATTGTATAAAATGTAAAAGGTAATAAAATGTAAATTAATTTTATATTTTAATAATTTTTGTTGAAAAACTATATTAAATTAATGATTTATTTTATTGGTTAAAATTACAATAGTGAAAAGTAACTATTTAAAACCCACTGATATAGCAGAATATTTGGAAAATGTCTAAAAATAAAATCATCTTTCAAAGAAATAATTACATTGCATAAAAAATATATACTTAAATATAAAAAGAAAATTAGACCCCTGAGTGTATTGTAACTCCACTTTTTTTCTGTATTGCAAAGGCAGTAGAAGCGAGTCCCTGACTGTGGACTACCGCATTTGAGCCCGGCCCAGGCGACTTACCATTAGATTGCTCAATTTCAGACTCGGAGCCGTATCGGGTAACAAATTGTGGCCAACTTTGTGCAAATGCTCGTCGGCAGCCTCGTCTTGATCGCTCGCCTCGCCATTAATCACAACAAAATCAACATGATCGTCGATGAGCTCCTGGCTCAGTGCGGATGCGAATGCGGAGGCGGATGTGGCTGCGGATGCGGATGCGGATGGGGTACGAACGATGCCAGCATCGCTGCCACTGAGACTGCAATCGTCGCTAAGTTCGCAAATGTCAACACCCTGGTCGATTGGGGGTAGGATAGTGGGCTTTGATGGTGGATCGTGGCCAATGCCATTGCTCGTGCGGTGGGTGGTGGATGTGGTGGTGGTGGAGGTGGAGGAGGCCCACGAGGACGAGCTCTTTTGTACTGTCTGGGTGCGGATCACCTGCATGGCGCCGTTGGCGGTGCGGGCCTTCAGCACCTCCAACTGTTTGCGCTGAGTGTGCTGTGTGCCATTCGGCTGTGAGATGTTTTGGGAGTCGGATATCTGGGGAGAGATCGGAGAGAGAGAGTGGGATTCAGTGGTGGCAGGATAATGAGTGGATGTTTCACAAGGGTTCCATATTAATGCAATGCCAGTTGTTGTATTAGTATTTTAGTAAGATTGATCTTCGGTTTAGTTGGACTGGGTCTTGGTGAAATTCCCTAATTATTCTCATAGTTTTTCTTATTTCCATAAAATATTGAGGTTTTATTTTATCCTCTTTTTAAAAATCTGTAACTTCTCTTTTGGAAATTTTTTTTTTTTTTAAATAAAAAATATTATAAAAATCTTAAGCCACTTTTTGTGGTACTATAGATCATCAAATATTTAAAACTGAAAAAATATTAAAACTTCAATTATTCCTTATCAATTTTGTTTTTAAAAATGTTTTTTAAACAAAATTTGTCAAAATCATTTTCACAATTGTAAAACGTTTATGTGTTTAATAAGACTTTTTATTAACTAAAAGTGCCAAAAACTATAAATACAAAAGTCAATTAAAGCCTTGGCCTTGATAGAATTTGTATAATTAGCCACCTTAGCTTTGATCCTTGTTTTGCCGAATCTAATTAATTTATCAACAAATTACTGATATATTGCCTTGTTTGATCGTTTTTTTGCTCATAAAAACATTTAAATCTGTTGAAAATAAGATAAATAAAAAATTAAATGAGCGATCACAATGTGATTGTCTAAATTTCTGTACGGGAGTGGGTGTGCCGCATGTGGGGCGTTAAAGTGCTTTGTCGCATGGCATTCGGCCGTTGGCAACAGGGCGTATGAAAGTTGCCAGACGAAACACTTGACCGTCAAGCCTCCCCCTCCCCCAGTTGCCCCCTCCGAAATGGTTAGATGCCTCTTATCTCGACAGCTGGGCGTGCTTAGTTCGCCCGCTCGGCACACGTGACCAAACGCCAGCCACAAATCAAAAGACTCTCGAGAGCAACTGCAATTGCAACGGCAACTGAAACAGCAACTGCACCCTTTTGTGGCCATACACTCAGAAAAGCCCACTGTAGCATAACTTTATATTTAATTTTGACAAAAAAAAACATTTTTTAAAATTTTTTATAAAGCCTAAGCTGTAAATGCTGTAATAATTTGACGAAACTGAAAAACCAAGTTAGGACCATGAAGGAAAATTTTATATGGGAGAAAAGGAATAGTATAATTCCAAAATGTTATATTCGAAATTAAAATACCAGTTCAATATAAAGTAAGATATAACACTAACATAAAGAATAGTAAAATATTTACTGCATCATTAAAAATTTGTAGCGCCAATATTTTATTAATTGGATAATAAGAGAATTTTTTTTTGGTGCATAGATTCGAACAATTAGCAGATCCGTTCATTGGATCGTGCCATGACACACCATCGAAGGAAGGAAACTAAAAAAGAAATAAAAAACACACTCGAACTGGCCCAAAGATCGATTGCGGCAATCGATTGCATTTATGATGATTTATAGTGCTAAAAATGCATAATATGGTCCAAATGAAAACTTTAACCCGCCGGTGTCCAGTTCGCGGCGTATTCGTGTCAATGACCAAAATGCAGCCGCACATTTGACTATGAGTCAAAGTGCAGCATTGTTTATATAGAATATAAAAATTTGAATGTTCTCCAAGCTGGGCGAAACAATGAAAAATGCATATTGTATGCAAGTTGGGGGTTGAGTCACTTTAATGTTCTTGATTTTCACTTGGGGTCTAGTCTTTTTTGTGCTGTAACTCATAACTCGGCGAATGGCGCAAATAATGCCTGTGGTTTTACCTCTGTAATTAGCTTCATTAGGTGGGAATTTTTTTTAGGTTGTTGAACAAAGAATATCATTGGCAAAGAACGATAAAATATAGTCTTATTTCAGTTTGATTTCGAAGTGGGAATACATATCAAAAGTTCCTCTGAATACATAGTGGAAATAAGATTTTATTTATATTTAATTGCATTTTTCGGAAGACATAAAATTATGATTAAAAATAAAAAAAATTTTGTAATATATTATAGTTGTTGAAAAATTTCTTATGGTTTTTAAGAAATGGAAAATCAACCTCGAATCACTTTATTGGTCCTGTAATGTTACAAAATTATAGATAAATGCTTTGAAATGGAATAAAAATACAATTTAAATGTTAACGGATAAACAGATTTTTTGAAACAAGATTAATTTAAAGGGGCTTAATAATGAAAATAAAGTGTGTCAAAAGAAGGGCTATTAAGATTTCCAAAGCCTTTAAAGCAATGCCCTGTTCTTGAGTTCAGGGTTATCCCTTCCAAAGTTCTCAATCAGGCGGTTTCACTCATTCACTTTAGTTCGATTTGGGTTCTGTCTGGTTTGGTCGGACTGTGATTTTGGTTCGGCGTCCGTCCCGTCGAGCTTCCCATTGACCCGAGGGCAAACGGACAATGCATAATAATTTCAGCGGCTCCCTAAAGTCACACTCATCCTTGGGACTGTGACTGTGACTGGGAAGGAGTGCAGAATAGCGTGGCAGACATAAATTACCAGCCGAGTTTGGCACCCGCGGGCCATGCACGTTCTGCCGCAGTTTCTCACGATGGTCAGAAGGAGACTCTGGTGGAAGTGGATGTGGGCCCGCTTTTCCGTAATGCCTGGCAATTTACAGTGCCGGCTGTAATATGTGTCTGCCTGTCCATCGATGACCTCTTTTCGCCGTTCGCTGATTTTCCGGCTGGCTGAGCCATTTTAGTTCGGCTTAGCATGTGTAGGCTGGCTGGTCTTGATCTTGGCCAGAGTCTCGTTGTCTGCTTGTGCTAATTAAGCTGTGCTTCAGCAATCCCCATGGCCCAGGGGGTGGCTCAATCATGGCAACTGGCTGCGCAACACAGCTGGCGAAAGAAAGCCAACTGTAAATGAATAATTTCGACCTGGCCAAAATCAGCCAGCGATCAGTGTCATGATCTTGTACAGCCTCCGTCGGCCAGCTGATGCCGATAAAAACATACACCCGGCAAAACCGAAAAAAAAGGAAACCACAAAATTGAAAACGTTGTGTTCGAAACCGAACCGAAGCGCAAAGTCAAGTTGAAGGTTCAATGAAATGCAGAGACTTGCCACGACTTCCACAGAGCCCAGCACTCGCATATATTATATGCCAGCCAAAGTCGTGATGATGTAGAGGAAGACTTCGCTTTCGACTCTACACTGAGAAAAATGCTGATCCTTTTTAATATAAAATGGTTTCAAATAGCGATAGATTTAAATGTTATGGAACGTGTCACACTATTGGATTTTCTATTCAATTTGCACAATTTTCGATCAGTAATTAAACCAACAAAACCTGCATATAATCCTTGAATAATGTTGTATGTATTTTTAGATGATTTATTATTTTATTATTTTTTTGATGGTGAAGATTTAAAACCTTCGTTAAAAGAACCTCCTACGATAAACACAGCATTCAGAAAAACAGATATTTTTAGTTAGTTATTGGTTCAAAAAGCCTTCCTAATTTAATAAAAGGTAAGTTAGTATTACTTTTTCATAGAATTAATGGTTAAGAAACCTTATACATTACGAATAATTTTATTTTGAATATTTAATAAATAAAATGTAAGAGTTAAGAAAGAATAAAAAGAATATATATTTTCTCACACAATTAGTAAAATATTTGTATATAATTCTGGTGGAAACATTTATTTTCAATTCAGTAAAATATAGGTAATCTGATTCTTTTGATTAGATCAGGGTGCTGCGAATTTTTTCCTGTACACGAATATGCCAAAATATTTAGTTGCCTGCGACTGGGCCGCGCTTGAAACGAATTTAATGATGCAGCACCATCATCATCACGGTCGTCGCAGTCGAAGTCGCAGTCGTCTGCCCGGTCGTGGCCGTCTGTCTGTGGCCATAAGATTGACTGTCTATCTCCCGACTCCGACTTCTGCCGCACTGTGTGACTCTGCGGCTCTGTGGCTTTGCTCTGCTCTGCCATATGCCCCATGTCGGTCCATGTCTATCCGCCATCCAGTCCGACCCTCGGTCCATCTGTCCTCCGTTCGTGGCATGCATGTCGCCTTTTCTGGCTTTTCTGGCTGGCAGCTCGCACAGATCGCCTGCATAGACATGCCAAAGCGTTGACTCTTTTTATTTTTAGCTGGCACTGACTTTGGTACTCTGCAGCCAAAGAACTGCACACTGGGATGGGTTTTCTTGGCACTAAATAATACTAGCGGAAATGACGATCTAAGTGCATTACTTGACCATTTATTTCAACAACTCCGAAGTTTTAACTCTGGGGCTTTGCAAGATGTCCAATATTATGCATTTTTGTGGAAGAATAATTAAAGTGCCTATCACACTTCTGCATTCATTTAATGAATACTTTTATGAATACACATAATGTTAAAAGTTGTTTCAGTTAAATAAATCAAGCTTTGGTGGTGTTCTCAATGTCACGTTTGGTTAAAGAGATTCTAAATTGAATGTATGAACATAAAAAACTTATTTAAAAAGCTGTGTCACAATTCACATAACTTCTCTATAAATTTCTACAAATTCTTCTTATAGGTTTATAGGTTTAATTATACGAAAATATCCTCTAGGTGCATGCATTGAAAAAAATTAATTATTGATTTATTTTTTAAGCTATCTATAAAACAAATGTGAAATTTTGTTAATAATGTTGAATGGGTAGCCAAACACATATCAAGTTAACAAGAAAATAATATCGGAAATTTAAGATCTTTATATGCAAGTAAAATATATCTCTTAAAATAAATTCCTAGTTAAGAGACAAATTAAACATGGTTGACCCACACGAGTCACTTCAGGCAACGGAAATCTGATATTTTAATGGACTATATTTCTGAACATAACAAATCCACTGCCGCACCACAGTGCCCTTTGAAGTGTTCTCCAGTTGGGTTTTGGTTATTTTGTGGACCTTTTGCCTCTGCAATCTATGCTTTTAAGCTATAATAATATACATTTTTATATGCATTATATCTGTCACGATCTTGTTGGCTTTATATCTCTATATGCTCGAGCCTCAGGCTGCAGCTGGTAAATCATGTGTTTGCGTCATTGGAGCTGATGCCCCAAGTCGTTTGCTTCGGCCTCACTTTGGGCGCAGAGTGTAGTGTGGAGTTCATTAGCGGCAGAGGAAACACTTAATTGAGGCAAGACACGTCAGTTGACATCCTCAATTAGTTGCAAGTAATTTACGTGTGTGTCGGCCAAATGGCTTGCGAGCACTGGGAAAAAAGACAAATGAAATGCTGCTGCTGACCACGGGTAAATCTCGCGACCGGCTGGCTGCATCTTCACCGCGGGCAGCGTCTCTGCCTTTTTTTTTTCTGGTTAGACTTGTGGCAACCCAGTGACCCACAAAGGCGGCGGCATTGCCAGCGGTTCCAGTACCGTTAGGCGGCAACATTGTAGCAACATGGCCACAAACAACAACTGCGATCCAACTGCAACTGCAACTGCTGGCAAATAATTCAAACGCTGCGCTTGCATGCTGCGGAAAATCTTGCAAAATGTAAATTTCTGCTTTGCCTTTCCTTCTCCGCAATCCGCAATCCACGATCCACAATCCATAATGCTAATGAAGAAGTTGTCAGGGATCTATTCGTCTGTCTAGTTGAGTAACGGTGTCTGGGTGCGTCTGCGATCTGCTCTGCTTCGACTCGATATTGGATATTGCCAAATTGATTTCCCTGCGATCCGTGCCGGCATCCGCTGCCTTTGACTTTGCCTTTGTCGGCAAAAGATCGGCGGACGAACAGCGGGATGTCGGTGATATAAATCCCGGACTTGGCCATCAAATCGAGTCGAGTCGAGCTCTTTTAACTGAAACTAATGCGGACTATGACCAGCGATGGCAAACATCTAGGCAAGTTGCCAGCAATTCTTTTACTAGTTTTAGGTACCTACATTTCTAATACATTTAAAGCAAAAAACTTTATCTTCAACATACTTTGGCATATAAGCTAAACCATTAAACTCTCGCCATAAATCCGCCGCTGATCATCGTTCCCGAATCTCTTATGTTTGCTATTTGAATGTCAATAAGTCCCAAATAAATTGTAATTAATAATTAAATACTAATTCTTAAAGATTGTTTTAACATATAAAATAGCATTACTTCACAAGTAATTGTCATTTAATCCTTCCCTAAATAACGCTTATTGTTTTATTATAAATACAACGCCAAATGTTATGGCTTTTAACTTTTACTCTGGGCTAAAAAGGGGAACTTTTCCCATCACTGGCAAGGACTTGGTGTCTTCTTTCGGCAGATCGTTTCCAATTGATTGTATTGATTTCCCAGCCAACTTACCTCCCTCCCCCCTCTATTACCCTTTCATCTTTCGGCCAGGCTCTTAGCATCGTCAGCCGCAGTGGCAACAAAGTTCAATCGCGATAAGATACAAAGTCAGCGGAATGAAACAACTTTCAATGGTATTTTTTCTTTCGGATTTCGGTGTTTCTCCGCCAAATATCCTGCAGCCATAAAAGTATGACTGAAAAAGGGCATATCAACACTGATCGGGTGAATGTAACAGTTGCCAAATTGAGTGACTGCGCGGTCATTAAATGATCTCGAATTTAGCTCCGGGAAAATACATTCTATTTGAAATGTCAACTTTGAACTGAACCGCAGTCGATTATCAGTAATCCAAACCATGATCATAAAACTTAACCCAAATATTTTTTTGGTGCTCCCAAAACAAATTAAAAATTAATTCTTATTTCGCAATGGTCCAAATGTCATAAAATTTTTCGGATGGCTGAGCAATCCTAAGGTCAACACTCTTTAAATATTTTACTATGATCTCATCGATGGGGGCAATAGGATATTCTATTGTTTCGTAAGCCGATCAGAATTCAATGGCGAAAAAATCACTTAATTATTTGGATCAATCTCTTCAGTTTGAGTGCGGCAATACCAAAGCAATGATGTCATTGCATTTGATGGACGTTCCCGGCCAGACCAAAGCGAATAGCTCGCAGTTGGCCCGAGTATCTTAAAGTCCAGATCTCGTTAAGTATGTGGTGCTATTTCAGTTGGCCAAGCCACGAGCAGAACCACGAACTAAGCCACCATCTAGATTTTATTTCGATTTGGTTCTGGGCCGAGCACTTGAGGCGCGAACTCGACTTGACCACACACACACATATACCAGATGACCAGATGATGATGATGATGATGGTGATGTTGATGGGGTTGATGTTGATGACGGCTGCCAGTGGATGAACCAGCATAAAATTAACGATAGGCCCCGAAGTGCTGCTGTGCCATCCAGCCAAAAGCATTTATAATTAACCGACAAATTCTAGAGCAATCAATGCTGAAGCGTAGCCCAAAGACAAGTGAAATCTGAATCTGAAGAAGAATAGCACGAATTAATTAAAGGTAAGGCAATAGCGAAACCGAAACCTCCAGAAGTGATTCGTCTATTGCTGAAATCTCTCCACTGAGAAATCGAATCATAAGTAGCACAGCGTGTGCAACTGCTTTAAAGCTCTTTAATTTCCTTTCTTTTTCTTTTTATTTACAACCAGCAATTGGGACTCGCATCCAACTTATCAGCGAGCTGTGCGTGTGACCTGTTAATTATGGTTGAGTAAAAACGGTCAACGTATCTCCGTTCATGTCCATGTCGATGTCTGCGGTTTGATAGCCACTCGGGGAAAAGCCGTTTGACACACAAAACGATCTCAACTGGCCAATCGGACTGGCGGCATTCGGTATTCAGTAACCACCATCAAGCGGCTGACGGGTTCTCAAGCGATTAACTTTGCTATGCGTAGTTGGGGTTCCGTTCCCGCCGAATTATTTCGAATTATTAAAAGCCAGATGTCTGGGTTTTCATCTCAAGAATTTGTGTTGAATTTAATTACGTTTTTACTTTCCAAGTGCTGTGGAATTCTTAAGTATATTGATAATCACATTTTACTTACATTTATAAAAAGGTTTATATAATTATTATTTTCAGAATCAAACAACAAATCGACATAAATTTCCATTAATTCGTTAAACTTTAATCGCTTAACTTCTGTTTCTTGCTGCCTACTCATAGATTCAAGCTTTAGGTATTCAACTAAATAAACTATTAACTGATTAAAATCGAAAAGCAAGGAAACCGAAACTAGCAATCAAGCCTCAATTGCCGCAGACTCTACTAAATTAGTGAACGCCTTCCCATTTAGAGAGTCTGGACCTTTCAATTTCATTTAAAATACGATGGACAAACAGAGCCCAGCAATTAGGTCTAGACTCTGGACTCAGACTAGAGCGACCAGCATCATGGACTGGAGCCACGGGTTCCATCAATCAGAGCCAAAATAATCGCATTGTGGTTGGGGCTTTATTTCAGGGATGAGTGGTAGCATCGTGAGTGGAAAAACGGCTACCAGTGTTGGTGGCAAAAAAATACAATTTTGTGTCAAGAAGAGATCAGAAAATTACTGAGTAATAAAGTATTTTTAAGCCAATGTAATAAGTTGATATATAATTACATAATCGACGGAAGAAATCAATTTTAGTCAATATACATGAAATTTAAACTTTTTTAATAAAATTCTTATCTTAAAATAACAATCTCAGTCAGAAAACCTTTTATGTGAAACTTATTTAATTTTCTTTTGTAATATCTACTCAGTTGATTCCGATAAATTTATTTTGACAATTGTATTTTGACTCCTAGAACGGTTAAATATTTTTTAATTGAACCAAATAAATTTGGGTTTAAAATAATACATAAATAATAATATTAGCCACAAGAAAAACTAATAACATATATGAATACCTAAATCAATTTCATATTTAACAATATACCCTTATATATATATTGTAATATATAAAAATTGCAGTTCATTTTTCTATTTTGATAATCTGTTAGGTGAATCGACTAAAATATTTCACAATTTAAATAAAAAGGAAATAAAAGGAAATAAAAGGAAAGGCCATTTAAGACCGATCTGTGGAATTTCACCCATTCCCGGAAACGTTCCCCACTGATGGGCAGCTCCGGATCACGCTGCCACCTTTAGAGTTTAGTCTATAGCCACTTACCTTGCCGTAGCTGTTCAGCGGTCCATTTATCCAGCGGTCTGCCTCCAAGCGTCCGCTGAAGAGGGCACCGGTATTGGGATCGATGCGTTGCCATTCACGCACCTCCCGCTGGAAGGGGGACCGCGAGCCGCCCGCTCCCCCCGCCGGCTGCAGATGATGATGATGATGATGGCTCTGACTGTGATTGTTTGTTGTGGCCACTTCCATGTCGAGATGGAGTCGGGGCTACTGTGGTGCGCTTTTAATTTGCACGCTCGATGCGCTCGAGCTGCCTTGGTTTTTCTCGCTGCTCCTCCGGAACGGGAGGCTGCACTTGGCCACTTCTCTGTGGTCGTCTTCTGCCGGCTGGTGCTCGCCTATTTCAAATTATTATTTATTGTTATTATGCTACCGTCTACGTTCACGTTTGCGGCCGCTTCCCAGGCCTCGTTCGCGATCGCACTCGCGCTCGCGTTCCGTTTTGGCTAAATTAATGGCAACTTTAATTTATTATCATAATAATAATTTTCTAGCTATTCTAGGCCTGCTACTGTGTGCACGTGGCCGCCCCTCTTCACCCTTTCCTAATATAATTTCCTTGGCTTTTCCTTTTGCACGCTTTGCTGGTTATTTGCTTTGCGGCTTTCACGGTCTAATTTGAGACTTCTCTGTGTGCCTTTCTGTGTGTGCTGGCTGAAATGACAAGAGCAGAGTGGATAGAAATTTCGTTAGTTAATTATGTTGCAAAGTGTGAAGAGATATAGGGAATATATAGTAGTGTCTTTTCGCTGATGTATGGCGGAAGCAAAAGTGCTTTGAACTGGCGTTTGAAGTCTCTCCCGAGCCGCAGTCGGCGTGCAGATTTCTAATTAAATTTGCGGCCAACGTCCTCCGGATATGACAGAGTTATATACCCGGAGACTGATAGCCCCCGACGGCGAAGAATCGGATTCTTTCGACTCCCCTCTCTCTCGCTGTCAGCGGATGTCACAGTCTATTTCCGCCTCAGCGGCCCCTCCACAAATCGCGGACATGTGTGTCCACTTGTTTTCCTCTTTAATTTAATTTAATCTGCTGTTTCGTTATTATTTCAGGTAGTCGGGCGAAAAGTCCGCATCCACAAATGCGTACCTTTTTTTCGGTGCTTGTCGTCATATGTCAGACACATCATTTGTAATTGTCAAAGTTATGCAAGAACTTCATTTGTTTTGGGGCACAGTGGTTGGTCTTCGATTTAAGGTTAAGGTTTCGCAAAGTTATTAGGCTAAATTAATGATCCAAATTAATGGAGTTTGGGTTATGAAATGGAGGAAGTAATGATCTTACTTCTTTAAATATTTTTTTGTATTTCTGCAGATAAATAAACTTATTTGTTTATAGCTCCTTTAATAATTAATTAAAGTTTGGCGAATTTTAAACTAAGTGTATTCCAAAAATGTTTAGTTTGTTGCTTAAGTCTTTTGTTATGAAGTTAAGAATTCCTTGGACAATTAGAAACATAAGTTTATTAGGTTAAAAACATGTTCCTTAAGGCTAAGTTTTTAAAGAAAATTAATCAAATAAAAAAACAAGACCTCTTTTACCCCATAATTATATTTCCTGCCCCACTGTCGCGACCATTAAGGCTGTCCAAATAAGTGCCGGGCGGCATTAACACTGAAATACTTGTGTCTTATAGCTCTGGAAAAATAAAGCGAAAATGAAACGAAAAAGGCCAAATTTAGCACAATCCAAGACCCGAAGACCCAAGTCGAAAGCAGACCAGCGGATGCAATTGGGTGGACACCCCGCCTCCCCCGTGAAAAACACCCACAAAGGAAAGAGAAAAGCAATTTTCTGAATATTTTATGCGGCTTTGGCCGACCGCTAAATAGTAACTGTTACTAAGTTTTCCACAGCTTCGGTTGGCGGCTCTATGTGGCTGTGTTTTTGCTTGGTGTTAGTCGAGCTGCTCAGGCATTAACTTCCTCATATGCCCAAAGAGCAGGCAGTGTGGAAACCCGTTTTCCCCGTTGAACTTGCACTCGTTTTGGTTTTTGGTTTCGGTTTTGGTTTTGGCGAGTGCGTCGCTGAATCTTTTAGCACTTTGGCTAGAAATAAAAGTTGCTCGAAATTGTGGCGATTTTATTTCTTCGGCACGCAGACTTACTCCACATTCACAAATTGGATTCGTATGTCGGACACGTTTTGCCGGTTTCCTTAGGTGACTTCGGTGTTTATGCATCTCAGTGTGAGCGCTGGTTGATTGTGTTAATTAAAATTTAATTAGCCGTAATTTAGTGTAATTAAGCGATGGCATAAATTTAATGACATGGAACTGGGCACTGGGGCGTAGGCATGGCCAATTTATTTATGCTATCCTATCGCTTGACTTATTCCTTTTGGCGACTGGCCAAAAGGTTATGCTGATTGCGCATAAAAAACAAATTGAATGCATTAAAGCTGCGGGGAACGTAAATAATGAGATGATCAAGTTTGTTGCCTAAGTCTTTTGTAAGGGGCTGCTTGGAGAATACTTACACAGAGTTTTAAAGTTAAACTTTGGTCAGATAAGTTATAGTGCTTAACTTTAGTTACTAAAGAGATTGGTTATTGAGTACTTTTTTAATAAACTTGTTCTGAAGTTTTTATGCGAAACTCATTTTGTTATCTAGTAGTCGTGTTCTAGCCGCAGGGAAAATAACCACAGAAATACAATTTTCAACTTGAGTTGTTCACGTCCACTTGGCGACTTTAGGCACAATACCAACAATGAAGTGACGATGAAGGTCAGCGTAATTATTACTATTATATTTTTTACAGTTTGACTGTCACCCAACCGCAGTAAGGAAATACCTACAACTGTGGCCGTTCACAACAGTTATTTTTGTTACAATACTTGGCCAAAACGAAAGTCATTTTGCTTGAGGTTTCTGCGGTTGATTTTGCATTGGGTTCCAGTTATTTCAATATCAATTTGATGCGTAATTCGCAAAAAATTCAATTGAATTTGCTGTTTTTTCACGGGTCAAGTGTCCCTATGTAGGTTAATCCCTCATTTTTGGTTTTGCATTACATTTGTTTCTCTTCGCCCACTCGCCATTTATTTAAAAATAGTTCAATTTGCGTGGGATGTGAAAAAACAATAGGTCCATGTTTATTAATAAATGCAAAAATTCGAGCCTAAAAAGTGACAGCTAAGATGTGAGGGTGTTCAATTGGCATTGAACGTGCGTTACAGTAAAAATATTTGAGTTAAATAATTTTAACGAGAAATTGGAACTTTAATTCACACTTTTTGTGTATTTGCAACGCGTGCGCAGACCACGAAAATCGTGCAACAATTGACCGATATGCAAATTGTTCTTGTTATTTCAGAGACAGACTTTCGGACAGACTGACAGACAGCTGAAAATTTGCATAATTGGCTCGCATTCGCGTGTTTTTCGTGTGTTCTAATTTGAATTTGATTTGTGCGACACAAAAACAGAAGCAGCACGCTCCACAAGACTTGGACAGCAAGTGTGAACAAAAAAGTTGGCACAACAATAAATTGTCAGTTTTATTTTTACAAACTCTGCCTTGAGAAACAGTAAAGACAGCTGCAGAGTATCGAATTGCAATGTGCTACATCAAGTTTGATGGTAAATTTAGTATTTTTATTTAATTAAAAACTGTATTTTTAAATCGAATTTTCTTTAATTCTGAGATTTGACCAATACAATCTGTTGAATAACTTAATATTTGCACAAGCTATAATTTCAATACAATAAATAATAAGTAAAGATTGTATAGAAATCTCGTTGGAGTCAATCATATCAAGTTCTCGTTTGTATTTTTTCAATTAAATGTTTCCCTTGTTCTGGTCTTGCCACACATTAGTTTCTCTTATTCTTGCCCGCTTATAATTATTTATTTCTTATTTATCTCTCATTGCCTTTCAACAGTAATCTTTAACCTCATGATTTGTGTGTCTCAATCTACTCTTGATGTTTGGGTTCATTTTTCAACAAATGCTTTTTTTTGCTGTGCTACAATTCAATTATGTGAATATAAAAAACTTTTTGATTGCCGCCACAATTGAACAGCAACGCCTCTATGAGTCTATTGATATATCTAACCATAAATATATTTATCTACATATGAAAGAAACCACAATTGAGGCTAGCTTCCGTCTTTTAATACCTGGGCTGGGTTTGAATACTTTATTTTTTATGACTGTGCGGCTTGGAAAATAATTCACTTTTAATATATTTTTTTTCAGATCTGTTAATTTGAAGCTGAACTTGGATAGGGGTTGGCTTTCGTTTAGCAGTCGTTATTAGTCACACGCAAAATAATCTTTGTTTCTTTATTTAACTTCCGCATCAGACATGCGGTGTTATAGACAAATGCGCAAATCGGTTAATTATATATTGTAAAGACTCTTGCCAATCAGCAGCACCCGCACTTGATTTGACCGTAGATGGGATGTGTGTTGTTTCATTTTTATTTAATTAGGCAAATGAGCTAATCTGCTACAATCGAGATGACATTTGTGGGACGAGAAATTTATGATTGGTAATTTATTGTACAACTAAATGGTTCCTTCGAGCATTTCACTCGTATTACACAATTACATAATTATAAGTTGGGCCCGCCAGAGTGCCAAAAGCAGAGACAGGTTCCAACCTCTAAGCCATTCACACTCTACCCACGAAACAGGTAATTGTGGTCGTTGTTTTCGTTGTCGTGTCTCAAATGTACAGACGTATCATAGATATAAGTCTAATGATAGATATACTTGTTCCGTCCAATGGAAATTGTAATTTTATGATTTCCTGCTGACGCCTACAAGCAGCCCGTGCGATCAATTTTCCGCTACCTGCACCCCAAACACAACACACACCAGCCAGTGCGTATGCGTAATATGAATACGACGCGTATGCGTAATATGCAATTTCATATCCACCTTGTGTAACATCTCTTTGCCAACGGAAAGTTGTAAGCTAATTTTGCGAAAGTTTTCAGCCACGAGCGTCTTAAATATTTATGATGCTCTAAAAAGTTTGAAAATTATATATTTTTCGGCTGCTAATAAGCCTAATACCGTTAGCTTTGACACTTGCACTTGGCTTTCATTTGACATCAAATATTAGGTGTTTCAATTAGCAAGCATAGACTGAATAAACAGAAAACATACAAAAGAGCCATGCTTGCTTTAACAATCAAGTTTGCTTACGTTGAGGAATTGAGTCATGATTATATTATACTTAACAAAGAAAGTTAAATCTCGTGTAGTTAGTTTTTAGTTTTACATTACTTTTCTATTTGAAATTGATTTTAAATTTGCTAAAAAATTATCAAAGTTTATACCATAACATTTTATTTTATTATTATTGAATAAGTATCTTGTTCCTAAATATTTTGTAAATACTGGTGAGTCATTGAGCAGTCCTAGTCAAAGACATTTGTCTCTGCACCCTAACAATAACATATAACAAAGCTGTCTTAACAAACTAAAATATAGTTCGTAGGATAAATACCTTTTTGCGAAGGAAACAAATTGAGTTGCATGCCGCGGCGCCTGCAATTGTCAGGCAACATTTACAACTAACCGCCCTCACAGCGGTTTGTCCCGAAAGTGAAACAAGCCAATAAATAAAGCCAACATCCAGGGTTTATCAGACTTGAAAGATCTGGCCACAAAATGTATGTAACCTACCTCCGCCCTT